TTAATTAAAGCTAGTTTACTTGATCCTAACAAAAACCTTTTCTCTTCCCAAAAGGAACCCACATCCACTCTGTCCCAAGCTTATCCTGGTGTCAGGGATTTTATCAGGAACTTAAATTTATCAAAAAACCTATCGCAATCTGCAGTAGATGTATCAATGTCTTCTTTAAGTATTAATGCTTTAAAAATTATAATACGGTTAACAAAAAGTGGTGGTATTTTACAAAGGAGGAAAATATTAACATGTATGCTCCAAATGAATGAAAAATAATTACATTTCTAGACCAATTTTTTTTTCAGAAAAGTATTAGTTATATACAGTTCATCAAATTTCTAGAGGCTTTCGACGGCTAGACAGAGAAAGCACTACTGACAGGCATCCCGACGGATTTACGCAATGAAAGTACACTCTGCGCATCAAGTATTTCACTATTTCATTCAGACGTAAATGTCAGATGTAAATTTCGCTAAAACATTTCTTTTATTTTCGTTTGTGTTTTTTGCTCATTACAGTTTAATAGAACCTAAGTATGGAGTTTAATAGCAAATTAAGAGGCCGCGTGATTAACAGTCAATCTCGCGAAATAATAGCCAATGTTATAGAGTTTATGAGAAGAGAAGGAAACTTTAATTCACCTTCAATACCATTTAAAAATGTAAATGATCGTGTTGCTGCAGCCACAGGAGTATCTAAAAACACTGTCGTCCGCATTTCTGGAGAGAAAAAAAGAATCGATAACCGTGAGATATCGGAATTTTCATCACCAAGAAAAACCATTAAAAAACCAAAAACAGTTAATGATATAGATGAAGCTGCACAAGAATCAAATTTTATTTTTTTATTATTAGATAGCTATTTTTGTTTCTGAGTTGTGTTCATTTACAGGCTCAATTTTTTTCCGTTTCTCCTTTTTGATTTTATATGGGGTTTCAAGTTGTTTTTGACTTATTTCGACGTAAATCACAACAACACACTTTTTTAATAAAGCAAACAAGTGTTAAGAGGTATATGTACGTGTAAACTACAATTACAAAAAATTGATATGAAACCCATGAAACCATACCAACAAAAATGTAAAGCTAGCTTCCGTACTAGAACATGGTGTCATTCGTCGAGATAATTTATCGTTTTGTTTAATAGATCAAGAAATGTAAATATTCCCCTGTTATTTTTTATAAAATTATAAGAGAAATAAATTTTTTTCTAAATAGTATAGTTTATTATTTTGTAGAAAAACAAAATTTCGAAAATTTTAGTAATGTTTCAGAAACAACCGTTATTAATAATAGGTACCATTTTCCTTAATAAGGTAGAAATAAAATATAAACTATTTCCACGATTTACAAAGGCCTACAAAAAAATTATAGGTATTTTCCGCTATCCTATAAAATTTATATTTTCTGACTCAATTTCAAAAGGTTGAAGGAATTCCAAAACACCTTTTATGGCATAATAATTATTTTCAATTCTACATACTATCTTTAGCTGCTTTTAAAAACGTTCTAAGAAAGTCCAATCAGACCAATTTAATCCCTAAACTATTCCACACTTTTAAAATTTAATTACCTAAAAATATTAAAAACTATTTAAAATAACTTGTTTAGCAGACTGTACAATAGCTATCTTAGTCACACGTAGCGCGTTCTCTGTCTGGGCGTCGAACACCTCTAGAAATTTGATGAACTGTAATACTGTAAGGTGTTTCCTCGCCTCTGAGAAAATTGTCCCTTACTAATATGGCGCTGGTTACGGGCGTTTCTCGAGCGCCAGATTTTTGGTTATGGTTTACTCCACAAACTCTCGAAGCGGCGTCGAAAGTACTCGGGTAGCTACAGATGGAGATGAAAAATTCCAGGGGTCAAAGGTCACTTAGACACATAATAGTAGGCCACAAGTAACAGGCTTTAATCGTTGCTTGAACTGGTACAGAATTTATCACTAGCTGAAATACAAGGGGGAAATAAAGTATGGAATTAGTAACCAGTAATACGGCAAGTTAACATTGACACATATATTGTTTCAAACTATTTACAACATAAAAAAGAATTAATTAAGGTATTTCAACGCCCACCCTCACGGTAATATGTACAAACCCTGAACAAAAATAAACAAACAAAACGGCCGGAAAATGACTTCCGAATAGCCTCAATCAGACGTAAAAAAAAGAAATCAATAATTGTAGTAATCACGGTCGCAGCATAACTTTATTATTGAACTGTCTATTCGGTTGTTGAGCTAAAAATATAACTTGCTATTTCGTTCAGGAGAAATATTAATTAACTATTAGACTATTTTTACGGACGCAGGAAAAATTAACTATTTAACAGTTTAATCGTTAAACAAACTAAAAATGCAATTTACCATTTTTCTACAGAAAATAATATTTATACGGTCGTAGGAAAAAATTAACTGTTGAATTGTCCAATCGGTATTTACAATCAAATGTTTCGGCAAAGCAAAAATCGAATATACGGTTGCAGAGAATGCGAGGAGACAGGTTCGGGACAGTACTAATTTCAGGACTGAAACCGGGACTCTATAAGAAGTTTACTCAAACTAGTGTTTGGAAAGTAAAACCAACTAACAACCGGGATAGCACATTACCTCTGAATGAAGTGATCGTAATCACGAGCCGCTTCAGACAGGGGAATGATACTATTTAAGCTCTCTTAAAATAACGGAGACTTACGCAAATGAGTGTTTCAGATGTAAAATAAACTAATAACCGGGATAGCACATTATCTCTAAATGAAGTGATCGTAATCACGAGCCGCTTCAGACAGGGGAATGATGGTATTTAAGTTCTCTTAAAATTTGCGGTTCGGGAGTATAAAATAAAAGAAAATGTCTCGTCGCAATTCTATTAAGATAACAAATCAAAATATTAGACAATTCCCAAACAGTTCCGACCAATTATTTATTGGTTAAAGCCTTAAATAAACTAAAATGAAATTCCAAAAAAAGGTGCTTTCTAACAAGAATAAATTAAAGTATTTCTTTATTAAAACAAGTTTTAATTCTAAACTCAACACGGAATAATATTAAAAATAAATCAAAATAAAACCAATTCCAATAGCACGGCTTAAAGTCCCGAGCGATGAAAAAAAAAAAAGAAATATCAATTTATAAAAACAATGACAACAATGTACCTTTCGTCAAGATCGCGGCTAGAAATTTATATCGGTTTAAAATTTTATCTCTCGCGAGCAATATCGGAATCGGGGATTTCGGTGTACAATTTTTTTTATTTTCGGCTGTTCAATAAATCGGTGTATTAGCAACTGAAATTTTTAATTGACTCTCGGAGCTCGTTTAATCGTCGCTTGCCCTTCCACTGCCAGAAAATCCCACCATAGCAACTCGCGCACGCAGAGTATCTGAACAGCGACAAGCTGATGATATATAGGGCATATCGACGTTAATATTAAGTAAAAATCGACATTAATACCCGGAATTTGTAAAAAAAAATATTAACGAAAATTGACTCCATTACAACACACTGAATACTTTTCGCTCAGCTATTAATTTAATTATTAGTAATAAAATTAACGAAAAAGTTAATAGATATTTGAAAGATGCATTTAAAATCTTTTTAATTAGGATTGTAATTAACAATAATCAAATTAAAATAATTTATGGATACAATTGCTAAATCACAGTTTACTTTAAATATCTACAATGTGTTCTAGTGGACCGGACCGAAGTATAATTTAGGATAAAACGACTTACCTGTAAGGAAGTTCAATCATAATTATACGAGGTCCGGTCCACTAGAACACCACATCCCTATAAAGTTATTATTCAATGGATGTTTTTAGTTAGCTAGCAACCAAAATGCATAATGAGAGTATCAACGGGTCTTATCAGCAATGTAGGTTTTTTCTCAACTATAAAACTGGATTTATAAACTACGTTCAGTTAACAAGACAACCACAAAATAAATTATATTTTTGTTTTAATTGTATTTATAGATGGTGTTGGTTATAACTTTTTATCCAAAGCATACTTAGTGTCATTCTGCTTTATGTTGAACTCGAACTGAGCGTCAACTGAACGAAGTTTATAAATCCAGCTTAAAAACTGGTGATAAATTCGATATACATGATGTATCTACAATGTGTTCTAGTGGACCGGACCTCGTATTATGATGAACTTCCTTACAGGTAAGTCGTTTAACCCTAAATTATAATCAACGTTTTTCTATCACAAAACTAAATTATAATAGGTACCAACTTACTATTAGAAATCATTCAGATTTGGTAACTAGAAACAACCTAACAATTTCATTGGATTTTTTAAAAATTAACGTTATAAAAGTCGTTGGTTGAACTGTCGTTAACTTAAGGGTGCCGTCCATACTGCTGAATAGGGCAATGGCTTGAAAAATACGTGGCCACAGAGCGAGTAAAGGGTAGGTACTACTTATGATCATCTTGAACAGAGTTTCATATAATTGAATCAAACTTCACTTCAGGTAAGGTTCAGTTTAAACATAATTGCCTATTGTACAATCCGTCCTAAGGAATATGTAATGAAAGTTTTAGTCAGGTAATTTCTTCTTTCTTTAAGAAATTATTTCATTTCAGCAAAGTGCAAAATGTTAGTTTTTGATGAATTATTAAAATACCTTAAAGGTCGACATGTAACTCCATTACATTGTTAAAATTTTAGATTTTCTCTCCCACAATACTCTGGAACTTTCCTCTTGGTTTTCTTCTGATTTTTATGTAATTACCCAGCCGAAATTAATAGAAAATTACTCTTTTTAACCTTTAAGGAATCTAAACTTAAATCCCTCATATAAATTTGTTAAGTACGAATCTGCAAAGCACAAAATATCAGAGCGACCAATAAACGTTAATAATTAACAAATTCCCAAAAAGTGGTTTTATTAGTCGAAAGATCTTAAAGTCCAAATGGCACAATTTATTGGTTTTAAAATTTTAATCATTTTCTGATACTTGGATCTCCAAATTATATTGTTAGATTTAAACAACCCCTTACATTTTAAAGATATATTTATTATCATATAAATAAAAAAAAGACAATAAAAAAATCAATTTTTATAGTTTTTATTTCTTAACAGTCGGAATACCACAGTCAAAATGCATAAAACTTAACGAATACGCAAAAAACCGCAGCAACCCGATTATTTCTTTCCTGCAACTTTGGCCTTGGGTGCCTTAGCCTTCTTGGGCTTTGATTTTTTATCTTTCAAAATTTGCGCCCTTCTTTTTTCTTGCAATTTCCTCGATTTTATAACGACATTGTCAGCGCTAAGAGTAATCTGAAATAACAAAAAAAAAAACTTTTAATAAAAATAAAAACACTGACATTTTTCTTTAAATTTGTGTATTCATCAGTATTGGATAAGTAAAATCATAAGACTTCATAAACACGGACCAATAATTTCATCATAAAAAAACATTTAACTACAAAAAAAATCTTGTCAATATTTTTTATCATTAAAGACCAGGTCTGTAGCTTTTGAAAATGGTAAAAAGGGGGAAAAAATGACAATAGTAGGATGAAACCCACTAGAAAAGAAAGAGAACATAACAAAAATGAAAGGAAAAATAATTTACGTGCAATTAAAGGTCGGGAAGTGGAAGGGGGTGAATTTTTAAGTGTATAAAAAACGGTTTATCTTGATTTCTGGCAAAACAACAAAGTCCTATGGAAAAAAGTTAAATGGCAAAGTGTCTACAAATTTTGTATTTACACTGTTTTTACATAACCTCAAAATTTATGTGAAACATTTAAATAACCAAGTTTTTGGTTTTTCTTTTACAAAAAAAAAAAAATTTTTTTTCACAAAATTTGGTGAAAACTTCTTTGTAATTTTTTTGATTTAAAATATTTATTTTTTCACCTTATTTCGAAAAAGCACCCTAATTTTCAATCGAAATCCTCCCGTCAAAATATCTGCTTTTTTTTAAAAAAAGTCGGTGGGCTTTTTGTTCGTTGAAATCTCTACTTTCTGATGGTGTAAAAAATATATTCATTACTACGGTAAACTTTCTCAGAAAATGCAAAGAAACCAATTTTTTTTTTTAATAATTATGTACCATTTTGAGCTATTTATTAAAATTTACACTTTAATAACTCGGAAAACGTAAGATTACATGTTACATTGATAAAAAAAAAATACAAATCCATAAAACAAAAAACATGCGAAAATAGTTGTTCTAAACATAAAAGATAGGATTGATTTAAAGGGGATTTAATCTAAAAAATGTGTTGCTGCAATTTTTTTCAGTAAAAAAGATGATTTATTAAATTCTAATTACATTTATGTCATAGAAAATCTCATAATATATAAATATACATGTAAATCGTACTATTGAATTTAGACACTTTATACTGATTTGCCAGATAAGGAAAGAAAGTTTTGTAAATTCATTATTAGACAATAAAAATTTGTCACATTTTGCCAATATTTTTTATAGAAAAGATGCAAACAAAGAAGATATTGAAAAAACGGATTAAAATTAATCAAATCTATTTATAAAAATAAAAATGATAATATAACACTGAACCAAATAAGATTTCGAAAATATCAATTGGCAAAAATTAAATCATGTATTATATTGGCAAATCTCTCACCCACAGAAGGTGCAGCAGAACAACGTTGTTACAGGTCACATTATCAGCTTCAAACTTGCCTGGGTAAATAACTGACAGAAATAGATTGGGGCTGGAAGCAACATCAACGTGGCTTATGCCCAATTTACAGAAAAGGAATTAATTCCGAAAATATTACTCAAAACTATTTGCTGCAGCTGTGAAACTGGATGTAACAGTTTAAAATGAGGTTACCGAAAACATGGTTTAAAATGCACAAATTTATGCTCAAATTGTCATGGTTCTGAAAAATTCTCCAATGTAGAAGAAAAAACCTATGAGGAAGTTAATGATTCAGATGAAATTGTGGATGAAGAACCAATGCAGACTGAAAATAATATTGGAGACGAAGACGGCGATGGTATTGAAGGTTTTTAAAGATCTGCTAGAATCAAGAAGGTTTGTCGAATCTAACGATGAAGAAATGTCATCAAAGAGACAAAAACTAATAGATAAGTGATTAGAATTCAAGATAAGGTATTTATAAATAACAAGATTAAAGTATTTAAAAATAATATAATGAATAACGTAATCAGTATGAAGTATCTAAATTCAATAGTACGATTTACATGTATATTATTTCTAGGAAACATTTTTTTAGTTCAATAAAAATAACTATCTACTATAAGTGTGCGGGGATGTACTTATAATCGAAAGCGTTGTTAAAAATTAAAGTATGCTTTATTTAGGTTAATAAAGCGTAACGAATAAAGAGTACGAATATATTTTAAATTACAATTCTTGATAGCAATATAAACATCAAAAATAATTATTCATATTTGTACTATCACTAGTTTTTGGTGGATTTCTAGCACGATCAAGCACTGTATCGTTCGTGAAATATACGCGCTCGCCGTTTAAGGGCCTGTCCAGACGAGCCACTCTGTGGCGCTGCTAAGTGGCGTGTACAGGCCACTCGGTGTCGCCACAGAGTGGCGACCACTGATTGTTAGTGTGGACGTGCTAGCTACTGAGTAGCGCGATTTCATGGTAGGCTCATGTTGGAAGGTAATTAAAATTTGCCAGTGTCATTATGGACTCAGGACCAGGGACCAGGAGTACTCATTCTAGCGATACTTACATGCTTTGTTATTTGCACCACAATCCCTTACTTTAAATTTTTTTATAAAAAATTACACCAAATTTCTTCCCAAGCTTTACTCTTTAATACCCTATTGCTATGTTCTTTTAAACTGCTGTTCCAAACGGCGTGACGTTCTATTTCGACTATAAATCGATCTGCATCGAACGCCATATTACTCAATATTGAACCCCGAAAATCAAAATAAAATATATCTACCAATGTTAGTAGATGTCGACAACACAGTCAACGACAAAAGTGGCCCGTGTGGACGGTTCCAGCGACTGAGTGTCGCCACTTCGTCGCTGGGACCCGCTTCTCTTCGCCACAGCCGCTCGTCTGGACAGCTTCTACATTTTAACATTGAATTGAATGGCAGGCGTTTACCCGCCACGAAGTGGCGCTACTAAGTGTCGTCACCGAGTGGCTCGTCTGGAAGGCCTCTTAAAGATGGACAGCTAAATGGATAACTGCTGGATCCCGTTCATGAATTGGGAAACCGAAAATACGCCAGACAGCTTCATTAGAACTGAGATACCAGCCAATTTCGTAATTTAATCATTTTGATTCAACGGAGGAACATTTACATTAGTATTTTCAATTCTAAATACAGTCATATCACTTCCTTTATTCACATACATGCAAATATATTTGAAACTCTTCACCGAACTGCATGACTCAACATTAATATGAGCATTGAATGTTTTGCTCAGCAGTTATAAAAGTTTTTAATTAACAAATAAAAAATGGGGGTTGATCGTAGAGGAGTGAAAATTAAGGGTTGTATATATTTGTATGCTGTATCATAAAAATTTTTTTGTCTAAAAAATAAAAAAAATTAAGGGGTGGACCACCCTTAACATTTAAGGGGATGAAAAATAGATGTCCGATTCACAGACCTAACCCATATGCACATAAAATTTCACGAAAATCGGTCGAGCCATTTCGGAGGAGTTTAATTACAAACACCCTGACACGAGAATTTTATATATTAGAATATTATTTTATAGGACATAAATCCAGCACATTTCTTACCAAGTAGCAACTAGAATTAAATAATAGTTTGATATCTTCGTCATCCCAGTCCAAAGACTTACTTATTTATTATCAAAATGTCAGGGGTCTAAGATCCAAAACTTGTGATTTATACAATGCTATTTTGGCAGCTGATTATCATATCATTTCTTTAAGAGAAACTTGGCTAAGCCCTGATTTTTGATAGTGAAATTGTTAATACAAAATATGTTCTCTAGAGAAAGCATCGTAATTTTGAAATTACTAATGCATCAAAGGGTGGTGGTGTCTTGCTTGCTGTAAAATCTAGCATTAAATCTTGTCAAATAGATGTATCTTGTATACCTCACATTGCACCCAACGTAGATGTAATTGGAGTCAAAATTTTTAATGAAAAGTCATTTGTTTCTATCATTAATATTTATATACCAACTAAATTATCAGTAGAATTGTACGAAGTAATATTTGATACACTGCAATATTCCTTGCTTATGTGACGGTGGCGATTAGATAATTATGGGTGATTTTAATATAGCAGATTATATAACTACTACAATCAATCGACTTATCCACGACTCATAGCGTCCTTCATTGACTTCATGAAATTTCTATGCTTGTTGATAATGTATATGAGCATTTGTACAATAAATTAAATGAAATATTTTCAGAACATGTTCCTAAAAAAATTATCAAAAACTCTTCATATCCAGAATGGTTGTCAGAAAAAAAAAATTATCGAAAATATAAATCAACTGGGAAAGTAACTTATGAGCAATTTAAAACAATTCGCAGGGAGGTAAAAAAAGGAATCTAATCTAATTTTGTAAAAAATGTTGAGAGAAATGTATCTGATAATCCCAATCAATTTTGGTCTTACTTAAATACCTTGTGTAATGAATCAAGTCTACCAAAATCAATGAGTTATCAAGGTGTTAACATGTCAGATTCTGTATACATAATTAATTCCTTTGCAATTTTTTTCCAATCCAATCTAATTTTTTTCTTATCTATATAAGAGGATCTTAAGAGTTGGTCACAAATCTACAGAGATAACTTCAATATCTGGTGTTCCTCAGGGATCAGTCCTTGGGCCATTCTTATTTATAATCTTTATAAATAACATCTGCCTGAACTTGAATTGTCATATTTATTTATATGCTGATGATTGTAAACTTTACACAAAAATAAATTTCATCAATGATTCCATTAGTCTTCAAGACAACCTAGTGACTGTACAATTGGTGTGAACATAACTTGCTGCCATTAAATATTAAGAAATGTTAATTGTATATCATTTACTCGTAAAAAGCAACCGGTAATTTTTGACTATCACATTAATGGCACCAATTGGATAAGATGTACTATTTTTAAAGATTTAGTAAAAAAATTATAATAGTTTATAAAAAAATTGACTGAAAATTAAATAAACAATTGCAAATGTTATATAATTAACAGCTTAACAGAATTGCCTTAAAGTTCAATAATTACCGAATTTGCATTATTTACCGAGCTACAAGCCGCAAAAGTTCGAAAGACTTAAAAAATCATTTTTTATAAACAAATATAAAAACAACAAATTGACAATAGGTACGGAATTGACAAATGACTTATCTGAGAGATAATTTCATTGCCTACAAAAATGACTTTAATGTTTATTGTCGTATCTCCAATAGTTTAAAAGTTATATCAACTTTTAAGTCAACAAATGGATCAGCTGCTGCAACTTTGATAGTACGTATATTTTCAAAGTTTAATAATAAATGGAATAAATTTTTTTCCGTAATTTTAATGCACTAAGTCGTTTTTGAAATTTTTTTGCTGTCACTTTGTAGAGGACTGTCAATTATGATTAAAAAAAAAAACACATTTCTTAACAAATAATTTAAACAATAGATATATTAAAAAAACGATTATAAACAATTAAGTTATTAAGAAAAAAAATTTTTTTTTTAAATCATAATTGGCAATTGTCTAGAAAGTTAAAAAAAAATTGAAATACTCCATTCGTTTATAAAAAATTTATAAACAAATGCAGAATTTTTTTTTTTTAATTAATAAATGTCTTCTAGACATTAAAACAGTAATATTATAATAAATTGAAAAAAAAAAAAAAAAATTATAGCACCACTGTGACTTTTCTGTTTTTGTAAACTTTAAAAAATTATTATAAACAAAGTATTAACATTTTTTAAACTTTTATGAAGTTATTTTGTTTTATACGTATATAAAAAGAGCTCCACGAAACAAAAAAAAATTTACGGTAATTATTTAATATTTTTATCAATTTGTAATGATGAGAGTAATTCTAAAAAATTTGTTAATTAACAATAACCTACTTTGTAGGAAAATTAATTTTTATGAAAAATTCCAACGGGAATGAATTCTTCTAAGTGTTTAGAATACACCGTAATTTTTTAAAATTTTTGAATTTAATTTTATTAACTTAAAAAAAATATTTTATGTAACGTACTCGGTTTCGACGCTGTGCGCGCAACCTAAAAATGGCGCGAGGAAGGCTACTTACTTTGAGCGTTAAATTAAAATCATAAATAATGGAGGTACAGTTCCGGGAGTCGGAACTTATTTATAGCGAATTTCCTCCTCTTTAAGGATCTTTTTTGAAAAATCCAAAAATATTTATAGTTTACAAACTATAGGCGAAAAACCAAACACCATGTTTTTGAGGTGTTTAATTGTTTATAACTTTTGCAATTTTTTATGCACTGCAAAATTTTTCTTCACACATTGATCTAGACATTATTCCGAATCGAATGAGCTATTGAACATAATTTTCGTAATAGTATGTCCCAAAAACACGCTTCTGAACTTGTTGATTAGACTATATTACTAAATAAAATAAATAAATGTAATTAAAATTTAATAAATCAACTTTTTTACTGACAAAAATTGCAGCAGTCACATTTTTAGATGAAATCCCATTTAAATCCTATCTTTGATATTTAGAACAACTATTTTCCCATGTTTTTTGCAATCTTTATGTTTTATGCATTTGCAATTTTTTGTTTATCAATGTAACATGGAATCTTACGTTTTTCGAGAAATTAAAGTGTAAAAATTTTAATAAATAGCTCAAAATTGTACATGATTAAAAAAAATTCAGATTCGAGTTTTTTCGTTTCTTTGTATTTTCTGAAAACATTTACCATAGTAATGTATATTTTTTTACCCCATCAGAAAGTAGAGATTTCAACGAACAAAAAGTACACAGACTTGCCAGACTTTAGGGTTTGGGACATAAAAATAAAAAACCGAAAACTTGGTTATTTGAATTTTTCACATAAATTTTTAGGTTAAGGGAAAACAGTGTAAATACAAAAGTTGTAGAGATCTTTTAATTACCTACAACTTTGCCATTTAACTTTTTTCCATATTAAATCGAGATAAACTGTTTTTTACCTTTAAAAATCACCCCCTTCCATTTCCCAACCTAAGATCGCCTGTAAATTATTTTTTCTTTCATTTTTGTTCCTATTCCAATGGGTTTTATCCTACTATTTTTTTGGTTTAAAAAATTATGGACCCTGGTCTATTAAATTAAATATTACTTACTCCACGTTTTTTGGCTAAACTTTCGTCTCTTTCTGATTGCCTCTTCTGGTTCTTCAAGATGGCTTCCCTCTTGAGTACTGCAGAATATGGATTCAATTTAAGCATGGCCCTCATGTTGGTCAATGGATTAAGACGACGAACGCGACGCACCACCTTCTTTCTATTAACAATAAGAGAAAAAAAAGCATGTACATGGAATAATAAAATACAACTACGCAAAAAGTAAAAAAGGCTTGATTCAGATTAATTCAATAATCATAGCTATTCAGAACCCAATGCTCTGTGAATGTCTAAAATTGTTTTATCATCATGATCAAAACTGATAAGAAAGAAATTCAAAGAATTTTCTTTTAGTAGTATCTGTTTTATCAGCGTAATACCTGGTTTTTATAGTAACGCCTGTTTTTATCAGCAAAACTTAATATTGTATTTTTTTTAAGATGTCAAAAAATATTTGGGTGTAAAAAATTTGAAGAAATTAGGTTTAAAAAAAAATCAAAAAGTGCAGATAGTTCTACCCACATTTTTTTAAATTTTTATCCTGGAACAGTATATTATCTAACTTTGTATAAATAAACTATTAGCTTTGGCAGTGGCTTGTTTATGTAACTATATTATTTATTTGGCCTAGCGATAGAAATCTCAAATAGAATGATTGATTAGATGTTAATTTTATATTATTATTATTATTATTTGGTGAAGTTATTTTAATGTCGTATGAACATATATATTAGGTAAAAAAACATTGCCTAATGAAATCGTTCAAAGCTCGGAAGCTCCGGACAAAATCATCAGTTTTGTACTCACTGAAGAATTAAGTTGTGTAGAAAATTGTAGACCACTCAAGCTCCCTATAATTATTTTTAATCGAATAATATTCAATCCGTTACATTTTGATCAATCATAAACCGATCACTAACGGAATTAAAATTAAACAAAACGCAATCGGACCACTTTCTATTATGATTAAAAATAATTAAAAGGGTTACTTAAATAGTTACTAGGATGATGGTGATGTTTTTTTCTTGAGTCTGAAAAAAATTACAGAAAAAAACCTAATTGAACATCAAGATGACATGAGGCCTTCATTCTTCACTATTTTGAGTTTCTTATTTAATAATTTAAAAAATTTATTTAGTATTACAAAAAATTAAAATAATGATTCATATACATACGTAAAAAATATACTTCTTACTATGTTCTTGAATCTTCTGTCTTCATCCAATTATTTGTATTTTTGTTTAGAATCCATTTCTGTCGTTTTTAGATCAGGAACTTCCAAAAAAAAAGCGTTTTACACTCGCCTACCGTCTTTTTACTAATTATAATTCCAGGATAACTAACCCAAAATTAAATAAGAAGTAAACCTTTTGCAATAGGATCGTGTAAAACACCTGTAATTTCATATTATCGTTGTTACACAAAAAGATTGCTCTTCAAAAACGTTTAAGACTTTATAAAACAAATATCTTCAAAATTAAATCTGAGAATTCTAGGGATTCAATCAATAATTATTACAAAATTTACATTTAAATTACTCTGGACTAAAATGAGTGAATAATGACTAATAAAGTTGAGTTTGTCCTCTGAAGCAATTTGAGCCTGTAACTTGGGCTGGATGCTATTAAACTGCAACCTAAAGGATATTGTTTTCTCAGTAATCGGGATACAAACCCTTATTACTAAGCCATGAAGCACTTTTGCTCAAAGACTCGTCAGACCTCCTCTCAATCATTGCTGAAAAGAGGTTTGTCCATCGAAATCAAAGAGCGATAGTGCCCATGTGGATACTTAGTCATCAGGATACAAACCCCAATTCGTAAGTCATGAAACACTTTTGCTCAAGGAGTCGACAGTCTTCCTCCTAATCATTGCTGAAGAAAAGACTTGCCCGTCGAAATCCAAAGAGCGCTAGTGCCCATGTGATTTAACACTGCGCCTCAGGTCTGTGAGATATCTTCATCGAATTCTGCAAACCTTTCTCGCTAACCATAATTTCTGGATGACTAACCAAAAATAAAATAGAAAGCGACATAGCTCGCAAAACTCGATAAAAAAACATCCCTAACGCTTTAGACGACAGTATTAAAATTCGTTCACTGAATGGTCCAATAAATGTATCCATTCAGTGAAAGTCTATAAAGACTTTTGGTGTATTTGTTCTCTGCAAGAAGAGCCCAGTCCTTTTTGCCGAGCGTGGTTCACCGGAAGGGCCAATTAAGAGTCGCCTTACAGTGTAGGTCACTAAAGTTACCTTCAGTATTATTTAGTGCTCTGCAAAAAGAAAACTAGTCCTTTTCGCTGAGTTAACAAACTTTGAGTAGCATAAATGCCAATTTGAAGTGATTCAGGGTTGGAAAAGAAACTAAGAATTATAATAGTCTAAATGCCATTGGGCCTGGGTGGGCCTTGTCAGCATTTAAAAAGAAGTTTAATATTTAAATAAAGACCAAAGGAGAACTGAAGAATGTTTTCTAATTCTTCATAATATAAATTGTTTTAGAAGTAACAGAAAAGATTTTATCATGGCTCTTAAGAATTATAATAGCCTAAATGCCGTTGGGCCTGAGTGGGCCTTGTTGGCAATTAAGTAACGGGCCTAAGAAGAAAATTGAAGAAAGTTTTCTAATTGTACTTAATATTTTGATTTCATTAAGAATTATAATAGATTCTATTTTAAAGATGGAAATGAATTCCTACTAGAAGAAAAAGTTGGCTGATTGCAGAGTCCAGCTGAGCAAGCTCAGCTGTCCTCTGGGCGATGGGGTCGCCACATCCCTACGCCATTTATATAAATAACAGATTCACTCTAAAATATATTTTTAACAACATATTTGCTTCTACACAAGTAACAAAATGTCTTATTATGTCTGAAAAGTATTATGAGTTTAGTTTCGTCCGTCCAATGTCGTTTTTTGTCCGCCCGATAAATAAAAAACGATATCAATTTGAAAATTTCGGGAAAGAGCTATTGATTTGAAAAAAATTAAATAAAAATGGTGGTATAAGGGGGGTTAAAGTATTAAAAAAATTCTAATTTAAAAACGAAAAATTATACCAACTTGAAATTTTTAGCAAAATTCAGGATCTATAAGGAGACCAGCATATTGATTTTGAAAACAAGCTGAATTAAAATAAAAGTTTAAGAAGGTTGCAATTAAAAAAAAAATAATAACTCAAAAAGAAAAATGATATCCACAAGAAATTTCCCAACTTTTCATAAGGGGGAAATTCGGAGGGATTAAAAATTTGGGGTAATTAAAAAAAGTGAACCAAATTAAATAATAAAAAAAGGTAGACCTTCAGAAAATAAAGATTTGGTAAAATGTAGTGTTGTCAAAATTAATTAATTACTCTTTATTACAAAATAATTAATTAACGAATTTTTGGCAGTTTCTTACAAAATGTAACTTTTACAGAATCATTAAAATATTCAAAAAAATGTACGGACTGTTTGCAATTTGAAGTTTTATTACAGTAAAATGTTTTATTTAATTACTGCGTTAAATTAAGTGACATACCCTGTATTTCATAGTATCATAGTACCATAAAGTACAGGGTGTGCCATTTAAATTGCAGTAATTAAACATTTTACTGTAATAAAACTTCAAATTGCATTTTTATTTAAATATTTTAATGATTTTGATAAAGTTACATTTTGGTATACGGATGGATCTAAAACTAACAAGGGAACAGGTTCTGGCGTACATGGAGTTAAACCCAAATGCAACATCATTGCCTTACTGTGAAAACATATCACTGTATTTCAGGCAGAAATACATGCAATCAAATTGTGACGTGACTTTAAGAATGAAGTACAAAAAACAAATCCTAATTCTCTCACATAGCCAAGTAGCCTTAAAGGCTCTTGATTCAAACATAATCAAGTCAAGGCTTGTTTGGAACTAACTTGGAATACTAAATAATCTGGCAACCCACAATAAGGTAAAACTAGTGTGGGCACCAAGGCACAAAGGTATCAAAGGAAATGAAAACACTGATAAACTCGCCAAAGAGAGATCAGAACTACCATTCACAGGACCCGAATCTGTATTTGGGATAAGCAAAACCCACCCATGACTACTGAGGCACTATAACTTGTAAGGCTTCAGATATCCACCATTGTGGAAAAACTAACAGGGCACTGCTTGCTGAAACACCTTCATGTGATGGATTACACAAAGATCTCATTACATTTAGACTCTGCACGGAAGAGGAAGAAACCTCATACCATGTGATCTTTGAATGCAAAGCTCTTACTAGGCGGCGTTTCATCCTTTTTGGCCTAGAACTGGAAATAACGCCCCAGGAACACTTGGTACTTATTAAAACTAACCAAAGACACAGGACTATTCCAAAGATAGTACCTGAATAGGGGGAAAGCAGGGGAATATAATAGATCCAAGAGGGCACAGTGTTCTGGGCCAAATCTAACCCTACCTGCTTATAATTTCCTAAAATTCGTTAATTATTCCAAAAAAATGTTAAATACTTCGGCAAGATATGTATAGGGAATCTTTATTAAACCAAATTTTTATTAGAGGAACTTAAAATTAAAACAACTATATTGGTATTCTGATTTGAGACATCCCGTGTACAGGGTGTCCAGAAATTAGAAGGTTATATTTTAACAGCATAATCTACATCCTAAAATATGAGTAAAAGTTCATATAAACATGTCCGAAAACGTTTCGTTTTCGAGATACAGGGTGTTACAAGTGAAGTCTTGATGGCGCATTTTTGTAAATATTTTCTATAATTTCTTTAGTTACCGATTTTCCAAAGTTAAACTTAGGGCACTTTTACCATAAGCCCCCCTAAATTACCCATATATGAAGATGATTAAAAGCTAGGGGTTAGTTAATTAAATAAAGCGAAAAAACGTAACCATTTGTACCAAATTTCAGTTAGTTATCTTTAAACATTTAGAAAATATTTAAAAAAAGTGTGTCATCAGCACTTCACTTTTAACACCCTGTATCTAGGAAAAGAAACGTTTTCGTACCTATGTTTACATGAACTTTTACTAATATTTTAGGATGTAAGATTGCGCTGTTAAAATATGACCGTCTAATTTCGGGACACCCTATATAAGAAACTCATTTTAAATTGTAGGCGTCACTGTTTTATACAGAGTGGTCCAAAAGTCTGGCCAATTATCTCGTAAATTGCTAGTCCTAATTGTACAAAATTTGGGGTACACCTATTTTGGGATTCGGTGATTCCAGATTTGATATTTGCAATGTTGCCAGATTTGCCGTTTCTTTTAAATTATTAATCACTTTGGTTTTTTAAATTCATCACCCTGTATATTCAGTCATTATTGGAATCTACTATTCAATACGAGTTCAACCATATGTAACACTTATGATTTTACGTAGTCTGGAAGGTCTTAAATAAATAATTTTTAATATGTTGTAGTTTACCCACCAGGCTATACTAAACAATGGTCCCTGCTATTTATATTTAAGATTAAATCAGGAATCTCCCCAGTATATTTACAAAATATTTTAAGTTATAATCAGGATGTTCATGAACACAATCACGAAATAAGAATTTTTTTAGAGTTTTATAAGGCCACGAAAAAATGTACACAAAATTCAGTGTTTTTTAAAGGTGTACAGGCTTTTAATAATTTGCCTAAAGATATTAAATGTTCTTCAAAGGCAGCAATATTTAAAAGAAAACTGCGGGAGACCTTGCTGACCAATTGACGTTTTTTTCTTTCTTGTTCTTTTATTATGTTTTGTATAGTTGACATGTAAGTGTACTGTTATCTTATGTATTTTTTATTTTATTTTAAATGTATGTTGATTCTATACGTACATATTTTTTATTGTATTTTAAATGTTTGTTGATTCTACAGGGTGAGTCGGGAGGAGCGCACCAAACTCTAGGAGTATATTATACACGTGAAAATAATGTAAAAAAACTCATGTTCTTATCGGATTTTCATTTGTTTTCAAGTTAAACCATATTAACAAATAAACAAATTTACACATAAAAATTCTCTTATTCTAAATTTGAATAAGTATCTGGCATTTTGCAAAACTAACAATCACATAAATTCGAAATTAAACGTTAAGTTACTGTTCACTGACAGTTCATCAAAACGTCAGAATTATCAAATGCCTTTGAGCCATTGATAATGTTAAAATTCAGAAGTGGAAAGCTAGATGAACATTTTTAATTACGCCATAACTTGAAAACAAATGAAAATCGGATAAGAACATAGTTTTTTTTACATTATTTTCACGTGTATAATATACTCCTAGAGTTTGGTGCGCTCCTCCCGACTCACCCTGTATACTTATGTATTTTTTATTGTATTTTAAATGTATGTTGAATCTATACTCATGTATTTTTTATATTTTAAATGTGAAGATGTAATGACAAAAAATAAACCATTTATATATACTGACAATCTTTTAGGAGTGATAGGAGACATCATAATACATTTTTCCTTTTTAATAAATGCATGTCCGAAAATTAAAGATTAAAAAAAATATATATTTTTAATGAATAACTTGAAAATGTTTTAACCGTTTTCAATGAATTTTCCGTTTTTGAAATCTTGATGAGAATCTTTTGAACTTATTCGAGTTTATCCAAAATTTCTAGAGACGTACTCGCGGGACAAGCCTATTACTTTTTGTTTAAAAAGAATATAATCTTGTATATTTTTGAAATTTTTTGTGTTTTTGAAGAAGAGATGTAAAAATATCAAGGGATAAAAAAGTTGTATTGGTTTATTCAAAACAATTATAAAAATTGACAATATATACTAGTACTATTATTTTTATATGAAACCTCTGTATTTTGGAAATCAAGTGTGATCGGACATATCCCAGTAAACTACAAATAGTCGGCATTCGCTCGGCCTGGAAGCATCCTTACGGGCCGAATTATTTATAGATATATGAACGCGGCTACAATTTAGTGGGCTGTCGACGTTCGGCTGGGCGGACATGTCCTACCTATATACCGAAGCTGCAGCCGTATATCGGGCCGAGTCCGGCATCCGACAAGCCTCCTCCCAGTTACTGTGCCGATAAACTATGTTTATTGGGATGTTTATTAAGGAAAAAATATTTATTTTTATGTCCCTTAAGGTTTGTTGGCATATTTATGGAACAAATTTTTACCAAATTCAAATTACCATAAATACTCAACATGTTAAATTATTCAGAAACTCAAGCATTATATGAGAAAAAAATCACCTGATATCATTAAATCTGAAAAGAACTTAACCAGTCATGTTTTTATAATTTATCTGAATACTACCACATTTTAAGGTAAATATTTTTCTAATTGTATGTTTTTAATGTGTTCATCTCAGATGGATTATTTTTTTGTAATATGTATGACTTATCCATCCTATATCATGTAACTTAAAGCACAAAAAATTTATTATTTAACCTGCGATCGTCTGAGACCGACCCTGTTCTTTATTTACCCTCACAGCGCCGTTGCGCTTGGCCCGTTGGCAATCGATAATTTTCAGATCTTCTAGACTAGACCATCGAGAATCTTCTCGAGCAGGCCTGGCTTTATATAAATAGCGCGACTTTGTCAGTTGAAGTTTATAAAGAGAAGAAATAAATTATAAACTCTTTTAAATAAATAAACTATTTTTAAATTAAACAACTGTTATTATTATTTAAGAGCATTCAAATCGCTATAACTTGCGCGCACCTTTGAATTTCTTTCTTTTATCAACACCCTTTAAATAAAAAAAAAGTATAACTTACTGAGGAGCCCTAAGAACAGCTTTGATTTCGTCAGCTTTCAACAATCTGGACAAGTCTGTGTTGGACATTTTAGGTTGTGGTAAATTGTAGCTCTTCTTGTCTAGCGATGGTGTTTTCCATGTGCCAAACAATTTGTCTAGACGCTGGAAGGCGGATTCCGTCCAAATAACGAAACGACCTACGTGACCACCAGGAGCGAGTTTCAAAATGTTGAGTTTATGGACGCTGATTAGATCAATACCGGGGATGTTACGGAAAGCACGACGAAGACCTTTAAAAAAAAATAGTGTTTATTTTTTTTTGTTATGCAGTTAGGTCTAAACAGTTAAAAAGAAACAAAAATTGGTGTACGATGAGCATTGCCCTTTTTCAATACAGAAAGATTAAAAAGGAACGCCTATAGTCATCAATTAATCTAGCACATTTATGGAACACCCAAAGAAATTTATTTAAAAAAAGGATGTGGACATTATGATGTGCATTAAAGCCAAACACTAAATGATTTTCTTACCTTGATCTTTATGGTAAACCACGAGAGGTCCTTTACGTTGGATGCGTCTCCTGTTACGCATCTTTCCTTTACCAGCACGGAAGCGCTGGCTCTTGTAAACCTACAATCAAGAAACACTTCTCTGAGATCCTACAATTTTTATAGAGATATGGTTGTTATTCAAATTGGAAATTTCAGAGCTTTTGAGGGTAAAATCAACGTATATCAGAAACACGGACCAAAAGCAACTCATCATGTGAATAATTAAAAAAATAACCAAATATTTGTCAAATTCTCAGACTTTGAAATGTTGAAAATCTTTTATATGAGTAATATTCCAATGTTGGACCCAAAAATCCTAACCAGTTAGAAAAACTTTCATTAATTATTTTACATTGTTTTTTAATAGTTCCTTATTTAAAATCCCTAAAGTATTGATTTATTTACCAATATTTTTTTTTTTTATCTTAAATGAATTAATCTCCACAGATACCACACTATATTTTAAAGATCTGCCATAGTTTATTGAAAAAGATTAAATTTGACATCTACTTAAATTTTAAAAATATACCAATTAACCTTTTGGATGTCAGCCCAAGCTCTAATTCTCCTCAAGAATTGTACAGCCTCCTTGGTCTTCTGCATTTCCTGTACCTTATCGCTAACAACTAAAGGCAATTCTGGAATTTGATCAATGACGTGACCCTTGCTCATAACCAAAGCGGGTACCCCACTGGCGGCTACAGCCGAAGCGAGAGCGTAACGACGTTGGTTAATATTGACACGTCTGTGCCAACGACGCCATGGCTTTGTAGGTGCGAACATGCGACCTCCACGACACATGTTACCGAAAGCTCCCTGACCAGAACGGTGGGTACCACCACCACGGACACGTGGAATACGAGCTACAGCACGACCTGTTCCCCATGATTCGGCTGAGGTTTGATGACCTAGAAGAAAAGCGAGGATGAAGGGTCGATTTCAAGGGGATAAGAAAAGCAATGGTTGACAAAGTATTATAAGCTCTCTTAATCCAGCAATAGCAAACCGAACAAAATCCAAATAAAGTCAAAATAGATATCGGTAGAGTTTAAATTGTCTGTCAAAAACATTTATTAAAAAAAAAAAAGAAAAATTAGGTCAAATGAATAAACGAAAAGCAAATGCTTTTACTTAAAATTGTTGAAATGGACTTATGCAGAATTAAAAAACAAAACAGAACGCTACTAAAGCATATTGCTTCCTTTTATTCATCTGACCCATTATATCCTACAAAGTTCTTCAGGTATTTTGGTTTTGATATGTAGTTTTTGATAAAAAAACAAAATTAGTCACCAATAAAAAACATTCGCAAAAAGGGATAAAAACAAAAAATGACAATGGCAACAATAAATTAATACTTAATAATTGATATAATTTGTTTCATAAAAAAAAAAAATGCACCATTCAATTGTATGGAAAAAATATAAAAGCAACTGTTTATTTTTTGACCAGAATTCTTATTTTTGTATAATATAAAGGACTTAACTGGAACTAATTTGGTAGAGCCACAAACACAAAAAGTAAAGGTATTTACAACACAAAAGCACATGTACGTGGTTCTGGTTTAATAGCTGATTTTGTAGTTACTATGATAGGGCCTTCACAACCAAAAAAGCGTCGTTTTCACAATTTTACAAAAGAAGAATTGTTAGAACGTTTAGAAAATATTGACGAGAAAAGTGATTTTGAGTTGCCGTGGAAATCAAATTACGAATGGTTTGGGTCAGGGATGGACTCTGGGAGATTGTAGCAACTGATAAAAAATAAAACTATTTTTTTCAATATTATTAAATTTAACATTACTAATTTATTTTAATTTTGTAATATTTTACAATTTGAAACACTTTACATTGTCATGTGTTTTCTATGATGTATGTGTATTCATTTAAAGTTTATACTTGGTTTTCTGTCGATATTTTCTGTGCATTGTTGCTAAAGACTCATGAATAAAATAATTTCTACCTAATGTAGGCTCGACCTTTATAAGCATTGACGGCACGTGATATTAAAGTATGATATAAGTGTCAGTTTTTATTTTTATTTTATCACAGTTTTTGGATATGTATCAATCATTTAACCTACTTAAAATTAATTTTAGACCATTATGTCATTTAACTATAATGTATATTTTTGGGACCGGACAAAGTGTATTCAAATGAGAGCAGCATCCAACCAGTTAAAAAAAAAGGGGTGAAACCTAAACCCACTTAATTTTTTTAAATGGGATGATACTACTTGTGACACCCTGTTCGAAATAAAATCTTAAAAAATATACCCAAATGAGTCTAAAAATGTAATTGAGGGAATTAATCTTAAAACTTATGCGACTGTGCAACCTAGTTGCAATTCTGATTTGTGTGCGAGGTCAATAAGCTTTAAATTTATTAAAAAAAAAATTGAATTTTTCTCGTTAAATAGAGCTTTCCAACAAGATGACTACAAGTAGTATCATCCCATTTAATAGTAAATTACGTAACAAGAGTTGTAAGTAACTCATTACGCACGAAGTGAAAAAGTTTACGTACAAAGCTGCTCAGCGGCAAGTGCGTAAATTTCATGAGTGCGTAATTGGCTTACAACTCGTGTAACGTACTATACTTTTTCTACGTCCACTTATTTTCTTCTATTAAATAAAGCACATATGCTTGTGTCGCCCGCCAATCCATAAATTTTCGATAGGTAATTACATACCTTTCTTTGGATTTTAGCTTTTTCTAAAATCTCCGGTGGAGTGCTCATAATTTCATCACTTTCACTACGAACAGTCATATTCGTAGGTAAAGTTGAGAAAATGTTCAAATACAATATTGTCACAAAAATTGACAATATAAATAGCAAGACGTTTATTTTCAGACTTTTTTTTTTTGAAAAATTGTATGTGTTAAAAAAATAAATGGTGTGGGGTAGGTTTCATTTTTTTTTTTTAATATGACGGACCACAAAAAACTCAATTTGTTGCTTTTCAACCAAATATTTAATCCTGCAGCTCTGGCGAATTAGTTCCAGTTAAAGTATACAAAAATAAAAAAAAGTTGCTTTTATATTTGAAATGAATGGTGCAATCTGGTTTTTTTTTTTTAAATCGAAACAAATTATACCAATAATTAATTATTCCTATTGTCATATTTTGTTTTAATCCATTTTTGAGCATGATTTTTAATGGTGACTAATTTTTTTTATTTTATCAAAAACTACATATCAAAACGAAAAAAATGAGTACCTGAAGAACTTCATACGATAATTTCTCACCATAGAATTTCTTTTTAAAAAAGTGTTCTTGACTGAAAAAAATAGCTTACGTTACAAGGACGAAAAGATCAGTTTCTCAAGCATTATATTCTATTAAAATGTGCTTAAATATAAAAAAATATAGAAAATTAAATCTAAAATATTTATTAGGTAATTCCAATGTTTCATATCACCAGGGTTGAAAAAAAAAAAAAAAAAAAAACTTAGAATTAAAAAATAAATAAGTAGGTTTTTACGTTATTTAAGGTTTTCATATGTCATAAGTTAAATAAAATATACAAACAAAAAATAGAATTTTATTTAAAACCTAGGTTCAAAAAAAAAACCTGTATCTGCCAAATCTGCTTATTACAGAGATGGTACACTATAACAGACATATATATTCCTGTTAAAAATTGAACAATAATTATTGTAGTCATGTGTTATATAGTCAGATAGTGACCAATTTAGGTGCCCCATTTTCGCATACAAGCCTAGAAGAGAGTTGAAAAATACATTGATGTTGAGTGGAATACAAGAAATTTTACGAGGGGCTCTTGGGGATAACACATGGAAAATTCGATTTTCCTTATCAGAAAAGTTTCCGACCCCAAAATGCACTTATACATGTTTTTTGGACTAGGGACGATGTACGTTTTCATACATTCAATGGGCTTGTGTGGAAAAATCGGGTAAACTCTCGATTTTTCCTTAGAAGATTAAGCCCTTATTTCAACCCTTTAGTCACTTGCAACATTAAAGCCCTTGGTTTTTATTAATTAATCATATAGTGGACACGGCTTGTGTGGAAATATGGACAAAAAATAACAGTTCATTTTTGTTAGGGAAAATCGAATTTTCCATGTGTTATCCCCAGGAGCCACTCGTACATTTCCTTTCATTCTATTTAAAATCGATGTACTTTTCAACCCTCTTCAAGGCTTGCAAAAATGAAGCACCTAAACCTGTCACTATCTGATGGCCCATTATTGCTCAAATCAATTTAATAAGTTTTTTGTTATTTGCAGCGGCTCACTTGAAGTATAGAATTTTTTTTGCACATTCAAATAATTATTAAATATGATAAAATAAAAGCTTTAATTCGCATTTGATTCAGCTAATGCGATCTAGCTTAAATAAGGAAACGAAATAATGTATGATGAGCATTGCCCTTTTCTCATATAGAAATAAGAAAGGAACGCCTATAGTCATCAGTTGATCTAGCACATGTTTTGGAACACCCTAACGAATTTAGTTTCAACAGGATGTGGACATTATTATGTGCAAACAAAATATTTAAAAAATAAGTAATTGTAGATTTACTGGTATTTGGCCATTAAATATACATAGAAATCAAAGAATCTATGTCAATTCCAACCTATTTTAAACTTCGTGGGAAGATAAAATACAGATTGAATCAAAACTTGGTGATTTTGCAACTCGATACAGGGTTAGCAACATTGCCAAAACTGACAAAAAACGATATTTGATATTTTCATTTCAATATTTAAGATCTAGAAAAGCTGAATTTGCAGGCATTTATGACTCCGGCAAGGTAATTCATTGCATTAACGTTATTTGATTTCATTTAGCAACCAAAATATAAACATTCATGCAAAATCACAGTACATCTTCTAATATCTCCTTAAATGCCTGTTAAAATTTGCAGTTCTTTCAGATGATAGCATGGTGCATATTTTTATAATTTACAAGGATTTTTTTGATTTTATCTAAAAATTATTCAGCAAAATTGTAAAATGTTCAAATATTGATTGCTAATGAGGGTATTCATAAGTTAGCTGTTCATTTTGCAACAGCACACCACCTCAGTAAATAGACAAAACTAGGATACCTATTTCGATTTTTTTTTTATTAGTAAAATAAATAAACACGTGGCAACACTTACCAGCTTTGTCGCTAACGCTGTAGGGCTGACGATGGTTCATAGAAACCTGCTGATGTACAAAGTTGACTACATCTGGTCTGATTGGGGCCTTAAAGACAGCTGGCAAAGAGACGCTGCTGCCTTTCACTTCTTCCGATTTCTCATTGTAAATGCTCACTAGAGGGCGAGCTGTGGATAATGACTAAAAAAGTAACAAGGGAGAAGTTCGGGATTTATATTTTAAGTAAACGTAAAAAAAGAATGCGTTTGAAAAGTAAAGGTATATAAATAGTATACAAAAAAGGTATAGCTAGAAAAACTTTACGAAATTGATCGAACATACCTTGAAAAGTTTACTAATACACGTGGTATGTACGCGAAATGATTATTTCCTATTCCGACCAATTCTTTCTAGCTCCATTAATAGTTTTTTATATCTAACCCGTTTTAAATCATTTATAAAGGACTTTTAAACGTTTTTATACACTTACCATTATTTCTTATTCTCTAAATTATTTACAACTTCTCGCACACACATCCAGCGAACAATATGTCCGCCATAAAAAGGAAGTTAGTTGCCCGTGCGCGCTCGGTTTTTATCGTTGACAGATTTGACATTTATATCATTTCCGTTTTAATACAGTACGTTCCGAATTTTGAAATGGGAAATTAGAAAAAAATTATGACGTAATAACTCTTAACTGGAATTCCATCGAAATCGCCTAAGTGTCTAATGTCAATAATTGACATATCTATAGTGATTTTGATGATATTTATATTTTCAATTTTTGCTTCTGCTTGTGGATATTTATTCTAAAATAAAAATGAGCTACGTTCTTTGCCCAGAGATACCAGCTCCTGGTTTTTCTTTCGATAATTGTAAAAGGTAACAAACCATTTTTGTCAGATTTACTCACTTTCTTAGGTGTAACTAAAAATTGCACAGTCACCGACATCCCAACTCCTAACCTCATAATAAACATTTTTCAGAAATGCTACACTGGAAAGCAAAGGATTCGCTGTACCGAAAGCAATAAAAACTGGTACAACCATTGTAGGAATAACTTATAAAGATGGAGTCATACTTGGAGCTGATACTCGCGCAACAGAAGATACCACTGTTGCCGACAAGAACTGCGAAAAAATTCACTATCTGGCACCTAATATGTAGTAAGTAGAAATGGAAAGAAAATATTTCAAAGTTTTTAAGGTTTTTCGAGTAATTAGATACCTTGCAACCCAGGTTTATACATAATCATTTTCTTTTTTTAGTTGTTGCGGAGCTGGAACTGCTGCAGATACTGAAATGACAACTCAGATGGTAGCAGCACAATTGGAGTTGCACAAACTTTATACAAATAGGGAATCTAGAGTTGCAACTGCCAATCAACTTTTAAAACAGTACTTATTTAGTTATCAAGGTTATATAGGAGCTGCTTTAATTCTAGGAGGAGTGGATATAGAAGGCCCCCATTTGTACATGATTCATCCTCATGGTTCTAGTGTGGATCTACCATACGGAACCATGGGATCTGGATCATTGGCTGCTATAGCAGTATTTGAATTGGGTTGGAAGCCTGATATGGAGGAAGAAGCAGGAGTTCAACTTGTAAGAGATGCTATAGCTGCTGGTATTTTCAATGACTTAGGATCTGGTTCTAATGTTGATATTTGCGTTATTCGCAAAGGATCAGTAGATTACAAGAGGACATATGATGAGGCAAATAAAAAAGGTGTGAAACAAGGATCATACAAATATCCCAGAGGTACCACTGCAGTTTTGTCCACTAAGGTTTTAGATGTAGAGGAGGTATCTGTAACTCCCATAGAGGCCGAAAGGATGGACGTTGTTTAGTTAAGATTTCTAGTTTATAAATAAATTCAATGTCAACTTATTTTATTTGGTATTATTTAATATAAAAATTATTAAAGAAATTGTTTTTATAAATAAAATACCATTACAAAAAGGAAAATCATTTAAAAGAAACATTCTATTGTTACTCCCTTTTACTTTGGTTTGTAAACCTTTGGTAATCAAAATAAAGCAATGTTATGTTTGCTCTAAAGCTTATTTTCTCATAGCTGCACTCAAATTGTCTTGAAGGGGTTGAAGCCTGATGATGGCTCTTTAATTCAAAAGAAACTAACCTGAATTATTGATAATGCCCATGACCTTTATATATTGAACTCCACGATTCAGGGAACTCTGAAATTTTTGAGTTAACTGGTAATTTTAAAAAATAATAAGGATTAACCATTTGACTGTGGAGAGCCCACCACTTCTATAATAGGAGGCGAACGGCGTTTTTCAACGTCCTTTACAGTATCTCTTATAATGCTTTAGTAAATCGTCTGTGTTTGAGCTATAGGAGTGGTGGCCTGTCGTAAACGGGTTAATCATTAATAACTTGTTTCTACAGTGACATATTGTGATGAATTAGTGAATTTTAAGCCGTAATTGCAATCAATAGGGTATTTTTTAAATGTTAGACAATATTGGTGTCATATCTCCACCATCTAACATGAGTAATAAATACCAAAACAGCAACAGTACATTTAATCATTTTGATGGGATTCAATTAGAAAGCATTATTACAAAAATATCTTCAAAATTATTTAATAAATTTTAAAAAATGAAAAATATATTTGATACCATAGGTGAAACAAAATCGACGGGTTTTAGCGTATTCCAAAAAAGAACTGAGCTGCCAGTAAATGTCTGTTTCGTTTTCGATGCGCCACCTTGTATATACACAAAAGAAAGGCTTCGAGGAAATACATAAATATAAATGAAATTAAAAAAATAATTAAATCCCCAATTTTTAATAATTTTGGGTACATATCCTGACAGGGACGTATTTATAAATGTTTAAAGGGAGGAAAGAGTCGACACATAACTGTATGGTGTTGGCCCCCGAAAAATTTCGAGTTCGAATTCACAAGTTTAGCATTCCAAAACAGTTATTTTTCGTGTTGTAATTTGGGTTGGCGGGATTTTAAAAAATAGGTATTTAGCTAATATTTGCATTGTTGCTCAAGCAAAGGAGGAAATCGGACTCCCTAAATTCCCCTTATATACGTCGGTGCACCCTGTATACTACTACGTTGTACGAAAGCTTTTTGACCATAAATAAAATAAATGTGTAATACCGCTATCCTCTTAAAAGTTAATTACCAATAATATTTCACTCAGCATTACTATCGAAAAACAATATTTTATTTTCCACACGATAAATAAAAAAAACAGGATTGTGGTCGGATTTTCGGAATTCACCTATTTTAATTGTCGGTTCCCGATTAAAAGATTATTTTCAAAGAGATTCGGTTTAATACAGGGGACAACGTTATCTCGTGATCAACGGTAGGGTCTATGACTCGGGAACCTTGGATATTGAGAAATTAAGTCGGCGAAATAAGACTGCACGAATGCCCACGTAGCTTGATTGGAATTTCAGTAAAGAATTATATATTTTGAACTACGGAGGGCTCTCACGAATGTTCAAAAACGGGAATTTTTAAGAAATTAAAATGCAGTCATTCTTAAGAACGCTAACAGACGGAAATTAACTTAAACTAAACTTTTTTATAATTAAATTAAAGGAAAATCTAGTGACTCCGCCACAAGGTAATTAGGAAAACTTCAAATATACATATTTTTAAAACTAATAATTTTTTGGAATGTTTATTAAAAAAATATAAAATAAATACTACTTAACATATCTCTTAATGAATATAATTTAAAAATATAACATGTTAACATTTTCTTATTCCTATTATAGATATTTTAATCTCATTCGAATATATAACAGTCATTTTTGCGAATAGTAAAGAGAAGATCGTATAAAAATGCATTCTAAAGAATATTTTAAAAAGGAGTCGCAAACAAGTCCAATTTGAATAAAATTATGTCAATTGTATATAAAAAACTACAAAAATAAAAAAAATATGTGGGTATATAATAATCTCAAATATTGAGCAACATCTTAAAAATTTGGTTATAAGACATAATTTAAAATTTTAACATAGATAATATTTCAAACATAAAAATTTGACTAAAATGTTATACATATTTTTCTCAAAAGAAACAATAAAATAACCAGCATATAAAATAGTCTTGCTATTCTCAATTTTTGTGAACAATAAAATCCCAAGTGTCCTTCCATCTTAACCTAATAATATCATCAGTAGTCAAATCCGTAGTACCGTAACTAAGAACTGAAAACGTTTTAAAAACAAACATCATATACCCCAACCAACAAAAAACCAACGTTAGGAATAACATTTTTAAATATCTCAGATCAAACTCATTTAAAACTATATAAACGTGTTCCAAAGTTGCTACTAATAAAAGCGTTTTGAACGCATACGCGGGGAGATAGTTGTGTAAAAAGAGAGTTCTGTCAACGAAAAAATAGGGAACGTAATGAATCAAATAACCCGTTAAAAATATTTCGCCCGTTTTTTGGAACTGCTCCCAAACGTATGGATGTAAATCGTAGCACTGTCGCCTGCGACGTAGAAGATAGATAATTAATAATGTGATGTATGTGAAGAAGCCTAAGGAGGCTGAATACCATGTGACTATGTTGCCTAAAAGATGAACCTGAGCCTGTAAATTAAAATAAAATTAATTATAAACAACTTCAAGTAACGATTTATTAGATTAATAGCATAATAATTCACAAAGCATCTTTAATATTACCCACATGTAAAACCCTAAAGATAGGAACTATAATGAATGTCTAATAGAGTTGGGTGATATTTCAAGAACTGTTATCTATCTATCTATCTATAATATATAAAATTGTTTGGCCTGACTGACAGACTGACCTATGAACGTACAGCCAAAACTATTGAGGCCAGAAAGCTGAAATTTGGAACATAGGTTTATTTTATTACGTAAGCATCCGCTAAGAAAGGATATTTGGAAGTTTAAACTTTAAAGGGGGAAAATGGGGGAGGGAGCTTTTAATAAAACTCTTTGTACTTTAAAGTTAGAAAAATGAAAATTTAAATTACAGCTACTAAGCATAAATAAATAATGACGTGTTTCAGGGTTTTTGGATTTTCACATTCTAGGGGGGAAAACGGGGGGTGAAAGTTTGTATGGGACTATCGTTTTTCTGGTTCTCTTTGAAGTTAAAAACATGTAAATTGGAATTGCAGCTAATGAGTACAAATTAATAATGACGTGTTTTATGGTTTTTGGATTTTCACATTTTAAGGGGGGGAAACGGGGGGTGAAAGTTTATTTGGAAATATCCAATTTTTTAAAGGTAGGAACTTGAAAATTGGAATTGTAGGTTCTCATCATAAATAAATAATGAAGTGTTTCAGGGTTTTTGCATTTTAACATTTTAAGGGGGAAATGGGGGGTGAAAATTTGTTTGATATTATTTATACATTTTTTTGTTATTTAAAGTTTGAAATATAAAAATTTGAATTACAGCTACTGATTAAAAATTAAAATTGATGTGTTCATGGTTTTTGGATTTTCACATTTTAAGGGGGGGGGGGGTGTGAAAATTTGTATAGAAGTACAAATTTTTTGAACGTTGGAACTTGAAAATTATAATTGTAGCATAAATAAATAATGACGAGCTCTGTGGTTTTTAGATTTTTGTATGGTAGTATCATAAAAATAAACTAAAATTAAAAAAAAAAATAATTAAAAATTAATAAAAACTAACAAATAAAAATTAATCAAAACTAACAAAAATTAATAAAAATTAAAATTATTAAAAATTAATAAAAATTATTAAAAATGAATAAAAATAAATAAAAATGAATAAAAATGTATAAAAATGAATAAAAGTGAATAAAAATGAATAAAAATGAATAAATACGAATAAATACGAAAAAATACGAATAAATACGAATAAATACGAATAAATACGAATAAATACGAATAATTACGAATAAATACGAATAAATACGAATAAATACGAATAAATACGAATAAATACGAATAAATACGAATAAATACGAATAAATACGAATAAATACGAATAAATATAAATAAATATGAATAAATATGAATAAATATGAATAAAAATGAATGAAAATCAATAAAACTAATAATAATTAATAAAAAAGGAAATCATGTATTTTTTTATATTAATAACACGACTACATGCGAGCAAAGTCGTGAGCAAAGCATCGGGCAACAGCTAGTTTAATTATATTATTCCTGGTAAAATTACATTCTTTGCTTGTTTTTTGATTTCTCTTAAATGTTTTCCAAAAAGAAATTGTTTGGAAAAACGAATTCAGCATTTTTAATAAATTCTCATTAATTACTATTTAGTCTTAATGTCAAAAATTTAAGTATGAATATAATTGAGGATTCGTTATATTTTACCATGCTAAAAAAAGTATTATGAATTCCAGTAATAAAGATAATTGGATAACTCCATAGACAGTAATAAAAACTAGTGGAATTATAAAATTCTATTTAAAATGCTTACATTACTAGTAGAAGAAATCCAATAGGCAATCCCCCTCGACATAAATGGCCATTCATGCGGCTCCGAACTGTACATATGATTCTGAACACTTTCCGTATTGGCAAACATCATTTTATAATGCAATTCAAAAAATTTCTGCCAAAAAGTCAATTTTGTCGGATTAGTAGGAATCATTTCTGCAGTTACCATTTCTCTCTCCCTTTCTTTTTGATCGGCAGCTAAAAATATATCACTCTTTTAATTATTCTTTAAACTATACGTTTTAAACATTTTTAATTTATAAACAAAATAGTATTGTAGTAGTAATAATAATAAATGGATAAAATCATATTTACATTTAGTATATCTATGTTCTTCAACATTCCATACAGTATCATCTTGTACAATGACTCTATCAGCTGCAACTTCATGTTGGTGAAAAGCCCAATCTGGCAACTGTCTACCAGTGAACTTCAAGGCAGTATTAGTATCCACATGGATGAGCCTTATTTGAGATTGTATAGTGTGCCAAAGTTCGCCTACAGTACAAAAATTATCTAGTAAAATTTCACATAAAACTGTTTATAAATTTAAATAATCTTTTAATGTACAAAATTTTTACGATAAATTTAAGATGACATCAAACTTAATAATTAAGAGCTGCCAATGGAATATACATAATATGAATATATTAAAATTAATTAACTTTTATGTAGTTAAATATACAACGAACCAGGGGAATTTTAATTTAAACGTTTGCCAAAATGTTCATTATATTTGTGGATATTTTCAAGCGACCCATAACTACTTTCGAATATCTTGGAGAAATCTGTATAAATAATATTTATATTATCATTACTTACCTGTTTGTTCTTTATTAATGATGTCAACTTTCCAAAGATTTTGTGCTGGCATAGAAATATTATAGTCAATGTAACAAGAAACCTCTTGACATTGGGGAGACATAGCAGCAGCTACATCATGGCTATTTAAAGCTCGACTGGAGATTCCTAAATAAAAAAATATAATGTAATATCAATCTAAAAACAATTATATTGTTATTATTGACTACATACCATGCACAAGCTGTATAATGTCTCCATGCTTTATAGAATCGACAGGTTGTTCTACAATCAAATCATTTTTCTCTGGCCTTTTGACAATCCACCAATTGTTTACATCTTTAAAAGAATAGCATGTGACTTGTTGTTGATGACTAGAACCTCTTTTGTCAGGATATCTAATAGGATACATAGCGCTATGTGAGTGCAACCAGCATGTTCTTCCATGAGTGTGACTGAAAATATAAGCAAATATATTCATCCAATAACCAATATTCGTTGGTTCTTTATGAGTGATACACAGGGTGGTCCTGAAGTAATTGTACATAAAAGTATGGTAGATTCATCATTTTAAAATATAACGATTTGAACTTGCTTCAATAAAATGTTGCTAATAAGGAATATACAGTGTTAAAGAATACATTTTAAAATTTATTTTAACAATTAACGTTTTTAGATATGTATACATAAAAATTTGGAACTGGTGGTTTTTGTGCACGAGAAATCATAATCTGGTACCTACTTCGTTATAATTTGTAGAAGGATATACATAGAGCACACTTATGGCATAAAGGTGCACAAAACTTAACAGTTTACAATATTAATATTCATTTTAGAATTCTTTGTATAACGGAATGTTGGTGTAATAATACCTTAATGCCTTTTATTAACTTTAAAGATTACATTATCGCCGATTCATATTTAGAAGCAACGAAATTCATGGTGGATCACTTATTTTAATAAAAGAAACTGTTACATATAAGACAGTCAATTTTATAAATAGCCTATCAGAAGAAATACATTTTGAAAGCTGTGCTATATCGTTTTCTGTAAATAATATAAACTCTATTATTACAAACGTCTACTAATCTTCCTCTGGAAATATTGAACTTTTTATTAAAAAATTTTCATATATTTTAAATCGTGTTGTTTTTTATGATGTGGAAATTATAACATTGACTCTAACAGATTCTTATAATAAACATCTCCTTACTGATCTTATTCAGAGTTTTATCCTAACTTGTCAGAATCACGAACTCACGCGGGAGTGCATAGATAAAAACAACCGCATTACTAAATCTAAAATATACTATTTTTTTAACAAATTTTCCCATATATAGGGACCGTGCGTCATGACTTTAACGCCAACTGGTGACAAAAATGTGCACTTTTTGGGGGAGATTTATTAATGTTTTATACGGCATTTATTGTTTAGTAATTATTAATTAAATAAAGTCGAATTATTTTCGTAAAATCATTATCGAAAAAACTTGTTGCATCCGTGGATGTACAAACATATCGCTTTGGAAACCTGGATTTGATTCGGTAGTAAAGAAATTTTATAAATTTCCACAGATCACACTTCGTGTCTCACACCCAACGATATACATAATTACATAGATTGCTTATCCATATGTATCTATCTTGTATCAATTTTGAGCACTTAGTTGTAAACAAATCATTTACAGAACCGGTTTATGAAATTAGAATCTTTAGTGTTTTTTGTCATTAAGATTTTTACATATTTAAATGAACATTTTATATAAATATAATTTTACAGATAATTAATGGTTTATTCTGTTAATTAAAACTAATGTAGAATGTTACTGTGAAATTAGAATGTCCAATTTGACAAACATATCATACAATTTGTTAACTATTTCTCATTTATCACTAAAATAAACAAATCGTAATTAATACTTTGAAATTACTGTCAAAAGAGATTGCAACAAATTTTAAAATATTAAAAATGCACTGATTTTCTGTAAAATTTTTAGTAACATTACTATTAAACATTACTCAGAATAATAGATGTGTCCAATTACAACTCTTACAAAAGTTGTTTATATCTCATATTAAAGTTGTTTACATTACCTTTACAAAGTTGTATTGCATAATTACATATTGCAATTATGTGTTTTATATAGTGTTATTTCTAAAATGAGAGTGGTCTCAAATTATTTACATCCATCCTTATAAAAATTGTTTAGATCTCTTAATATATTTAACTACATGGAAACTCAACTCTCAAAATACATAATAACGTGTCTTGAATTAAGTAATTATTTTCTTTTTCTAAAGAATAAAACGCTGAAATTTTATTTTATAACACATTTGGGCTAGAACGCCCTATTTCGTGGACACTTTTCGTAATCTTTTTTATAGATGGGTGAGCAATCTGTATAATTATGTATAGCATTGGGTGTCTCATAAACGTCTAAAGCCTTGGTTTCTTTGAACACTTCGTCGCGGTGAGCGGACAGTCCGTCAACCGTCGCGTTTTGACGATTTTATCCAACCAGAGTATTTAAATGGGAATGGTTTTCTTGAATCCGCTTAGCTGAGCAGGACGGCGTCATGCCGCTGATTTGTCGCGAAGAGTCGGTTGATATCTGTTGAGTTTGATATCAGCGGAATCGTCGGCGTGTGCGGAGACTATATTGTTATTAATTTTAAAACAATGAGTGACAAATTCACACATACAGATGACATCATGACTTTATTTTTAGGTTTCTTGGATATTATGTCCTTTATAAAACTCAACACGAATTCAAAAAGATCTGTAGAAAGTCTAAAATACTCCCTAAATTTGGTTTCATTTCCAAGAAGCCTCCGCTGCACAGTGATATTAAAGGCACCTTCTGTATCGCGACACAAAAACGACTCATCCACTGGCTTATTGGAAACTTTGACGGTTGCAATTGCCAGTTCCTCTTGTTCTTCCTCTTCCAACAATAATAACAACGCAAACAATTTATTTGCATCCATTTTAGTACCTTTCGTTTACATTCATAATACATAAACAGCACGTATAGACATAGAGAAATTATCATTTTCTATATTTTTTAACAAACCACCTCGGGCGAAAATTGCTGACCTCAGCGGTCGACGGACTGTCCGCTCACCGCGACGGAGTGTTCAAAGAAACCAAGGCTTAAGGTGGATGAATGACATTTCTATTAACATAAAGAATTATTATTATTCTCAATCTTTTTTATTAATTTACATTTTTAAAATGTTATTGTAATAATTTTAAATTCAGTGTTACTAAATACCGATATTTTGACATTGGATACACTTGCTTGAGGTACAACTTTACAATTTATTGTCACTTAATCATTTAAATCTTTTTGCTCAAAATGTATTTATATGTCCAGATTTTAATAATTTTTCACATTTTATATAATTTTGACCATGTACACGATTGTTTGTTACAGGCCGGTATATATATTTAACTATATTTAATATTTTAAAAAATATCCTTTATTCTTTACTTGCAATGTTTACCCCATTTAATTCTAAAATTGAACGCTAGAGAGGGCTAACTTCGGCAGTAGTGCTGCCTCTATATTTCACGCACGGTCCCTATACTGAAACTGTGGTTGATTTTAATCTAGGTGATCATTTTGGCTTGGATTTTATGCTTGGAGACATCCCATGTGCACAAAGCAAAATTAACAATGAAATAGTAACTTTTAGAGATCTTTCTTTTACAAACTTATGTATGTCACGATACTAAATTAAGTACTAAATTTAGAACTAAATTAATGCATTTTTTAAGTACTAAAAAAATTCACGTTGCAAACAGCAAATTTAGTACTAAATTTAGTGCTAAAAAAAGTCATTAATTAAGTACTAAAAGTGCGCCGAAATGTTGCGCAGAAGTTTTTCATAGAAAAAGTTGACACGACGGTATTTTCTGTACCCTTTTATTTTTAATTAGCGACAATTTTACATTATCGCCTTGAATAAAGTTCGCTTGTTTGATTTTGTAGGTTTTATTGTGTTTTTTTCGTGGTTTTTATGCTGTATTTGGTTGTTGTCAAGTCAACTAATAGTGTCAAATTGATAATAAAAACACCATTTACTTGACTGTTTTACACATAATATTTCATTTCTCTGTTAATTTTACGTATTAATACGTCAATGCGCGTGCGCCTATAGTAAATTTAGTACTAAAAATTGGTATCGTTGCAAACGGAAAAAAAAATTTTTAGTTCTAAATTTAGTACTAAATTAATAACTTAATTTAGTGCTAAATTTAGTACTTAATTTAGTATCGTGACATACAGCCTTTAGCAAATCTTAATGCAAAACTAAATAATGAAGATTTTTCGCCCGTGTATGAGTTACGACAGTACTGATGATGCTTTTGATACATTCTTTAGAATCATTTCATATCATATTGATGTAACTTGTCCCCTTTTCAGAACAAAAATGATTAAAAACAATACATCAAGCCAACGGGCAAACAAAAACATTATACATACAGGTAATGATCTTAAAAATTTGTATTGGCTTATTAAAACTTGTGACAGCTCAGAATTGTTAAGAAATTACAAATCTACAAAAAAAGATTATGTTCAGTTAATAAATGTAACTAAAAAGGATCATTATCAAAAATTGTTAGAAAACAAAAAATTATATGGAATACAGTACACTCTATAACTGGCAAAAGCAAATCTATAAAGCCAATACAGATCAATGTTGACATATTAATATCTGACAGCTGTAGCTAATTGTTTTGCTGACTATTTTTTAACCATATATAGTAACACTGTTAGAGATAATTTTGACAATACAAATTTTCATAACTGCACAACCATGCAAGTAAAAAAATACATTTTTCTATGATGGAACAGTATCCCAAGAAGTAACTGTAGTCGTTAGTTCTTTAAAAAATACTAATGCAATGGATGTAGATTGGATTACAACTAAAATAATTAAATCTATTGGTCATTACATAGCAGAACCAATTGCATATCTAATCAGTACGTCTGTAAAAAATGGCATATTCCCAAAAGAAGTTAAAACTGGTATAGTATCACCTATTTTTAAAAGAGGTGATTCAATGGCTCTTGAAAATTATAGACCTATCACAGTGCCTACTGTTCTCGGTAAAATTTTTGAAAAATGTATATACAGGGTGTCCCAGCTAAAACTTGTCACCCCCCCTAATCTCCGAACTCGTGAAAAAAATTGAAAATCGCTCAGACCCGTCGATTTTTATTTCAAGGGGGAACACTCTCACCAAATACATCATCATTGTGTTGTCAACCTCCTCATCCCCAGGACCCCCTACTTCAAAATTTTCAATGGGACTACTTACTTGTGATACATCATTTTAAAGGGAATTTAATCCCAAATACATCGGTGTACTGAAATTGAGGATCGATCAAGTGTTGTTGAAGTTTTAATGAAAACTAAGTTTTATCAAGATATTTTTATTTTTCATCACCTAAAATGTTATCATCATATGAAAGGTTCAAAATGTGAACCATTCAGTTCCATACAGAAGTATAAGCGATTTTCGAAATGTCTTCGCACATTTCTCAACATTTCTGGAGTCACTGCACGACACTCTACAACAATTCTCCTGCGTAGATCATCAAGAGAATTTGGCTGGGTAATATAAATTTTGGATTTCAAATGACCCCATAAAAAAAGTCTAATGGTGATAAATCAGGAGATCTAGCCGGCCATTCTATTGGTCCTCGCCTTCCAATCCATCTCCCTGTGAAATTGTCATCTAAAAATTGACGTACAGGTGCAACAAAATCTTGTTGAAAGGTGAGCTGACCTTCAAGTAGACCATCATCGTTTTCAAGTAATTCAGTGATTCTGGGGTTCACAGTTGTATCAAGAAGATCAAGATACTTTTGTCCGTTGATGTTGCCATCAATAAAATATGGACCTACAATATGATCTCCCAGAATACCAGCCCAAACATTCAATTTCTGGGGAATTTGTGAATGAGTTTCCCTGTACCAATGGGGGTTTACGTTACTCCAGTATCTGCAGTTGTGCCTGTTCACATGTCCATTTAAATAAAAAGAAGATTCGTCAGAAAAGCACACATTGTAGAGGTAATTATTATCACCAATCAATAATTGACTCATGATTTCACAAAACTCTGTACGTCTGTCAAGATCATCTTCATTTAATTCTTGTACATTCTGCATTTTATAAGGATGGAATTTTGCTTCTTTTAGAATTCGATGTACGCTGCTACGATCCTCAATTTCAGTACTCCGATGTATTTGGGATTAAATTCCCTTTAAAATGATGTATCACAAGTAAGTAGTCACATTGAAAATTTTGAAGTAGGGGGTGCTGGGGATGAGGGGGTTGACAACACAATGATGATGTATTTGGTGAAAGTGTTCCCCCTTGAAATAAAAATCGACGGGTCTGAGCGATTTTCAATTTTTTTCACGAGTTCGGATATTAGGGGGGTGACAAGTTTTAGCTGGGACACCCTGTATAAAAAAAATGTTATCATTCTTATTTAAAATTATTACTTATCAACATGGGTTTCTTCCTGAAAGGTCAACACAAAGTGTTACTACTGCATTTTTTAATTATGTCCACAATCAGCTGTATAGAAAAAGGTTAGTGGGTGTGCTCTTTTTTAATCTATCTAAAGCTTTTGACACCATTGATATCTCAATTATTATTGGAAAATTAAATGCTTTAGGTTTTAAGGGTAACTTTTTGCACTGGATTCATTCCTATATAGATTCAAGTAAAATGACTGTATAATCAATGATTGCTTATCAAAAGTAAAATGGATCGCGGTGTTCCTCAGGGATCAGTATTGGGCCCACTCATATTTCTCCTTTACATAAATGACTTGCCTAACTTCATCTCATCGGCACATTTCACGACGATACCAATGTTGCCGTCGATGCAGAATCACCTGAGGAACTTCATTCCAAATTGTCTCTTGTTGCTAGAGAATTTACTGCATGGTGTAAAAGAAATGCATTAATAGTTAACTCCAACAAAACAGTACTTGTTCAGTTCCATTCTAGGTCAATAATAAGTACAGATTTTTTAATACAAATAAATAATGATTTTATCCCAATGTCCATGAAAAAAAAAATTCGTAGGAGTTTTTATAGATGCTGATATGAGCTTGACTTCCAATACTGACTCCTTTTGCAAAAAAATAAAAAGTGAATACTATGCAATTCTCAGATTAAAAAATATGTTGGACACCAAACAGCTTCTTCAAGTTTACTATGAGATGGCATATTCACATTTAGCTTAGAAAATATTGCTTTGGGGAAATGCAATTTATTACACATACCCCCGTCATGTTTCAACCATATTCGAAAAAAGTTTTTGTAATACAAGGTACAGCCTATGTCATATGGGTGTTTTCAAGCATATCAGTCCTAATTTTAATTTTGTGTATTTATTGTTAAATTGTATATTTAAATGTATTTGTTAAATTGTATATTTAAATGTATTCGTTAGATTTTATATCTGTTTTGTAAATGTATACTATTGTACATCTTTAAATGTAAATGACTTGTCCTATATCATGTATATGATCTAAAAGGATTAATAAAGTATTATTATTATTTCTTTCCAAAATAAGTATTATTCTTGTAATTATTTATTTAAAAGTGTCTTTTAAAATATCGAGAATTTCTTTTTGAATTAAAAACTTTAAAGACAACCAAATATCCAAATTCATATATCCCAAAAAAACCATAATATATGGGAATATCTGCAGTGAATTTATTTTAAAACTCAGGATGACCCAAAAACACATAACCTAAGAGAAGGGAAATAAAAAAATGGACCCCATTTAGGAAGAGACTTTAAATACGTTTTCTTTCTACTTAATTATTTTAAATACAAAACTATAAAAAAAATATTTTTTTTTTTAGGTGTTGGCATCTTTTTATAATTATTGAAAAATTAAAATTCTTGACTGTAAGAATAAATATGTTCTATTACTGTTAAAATTACTATTGACTTCAGTTGATGTACCTGTTCAGTACATTAACTCAATATAGAACATTCATTATTATTATTAAACTACTAAGTAAGATATTTTTGCACTTACCGTAGAGTAATTTGAGACCCATGTGCAACCAGTAATGGTTGCCCCTTGGTAATACTAGCCAATCCCCCCTCTAGGGATGCCTGAAAAGCACTCGTCATGATGCTATCATGAGGTCCAGCTTTATACAAGGTGCTTAAATGTACATAAAACACACCAAAATATACACAAACAGCTATAGCTAGTGCAGTCAAAGTTTGTACCAGGAATTGTATACATAAAGAAGAGTCTGATATCTGATTTGAAGTTAGGAGCTTCCAGAAGTCTTGTAAAATAATAATAGCAGCTAAAGTGCAAGTGTAAAAACCAACATATTTAATACTTAAAGCACAAGTTAATGATACAGATGCTGTTAATATCCAAAAAAACCAAAATACTGAATAGGGTCTATCAGAACATTGTTTGAACTTTAAAATTGATAAAATCCCAAATAAAGAAAAAAATATCAACATTGATTCCATAAGAATAAATCTACTTTGTGTCAAAAAAGCATTGTCCAATAAAAACAATACAGCTGCTAGTAAAGAACTCCACTGTGACAAACCCATTTCTAACATTAAATGGTACACAGTGGGAATTAAAATGCTGCCAAAAAAGGCAGGAACAAATCTTAAAGCTAGTAAAGGAACTGATGAGTTATAAGGGGAACCTATTTTATCGAATTTGTATGTTCCATCGTATCCTGCCAGGTATGCCACAAGTGCTATTAGTTGCTTGCCTAGAGGGGGGTGAGAATCAAAGAAAAAAGTGTTTTTCATGTATAGAGAAACATATTTTCCATAATGTAGTTCATCAAATCTGAAAGTATAAACATTATTTAAACAAACATAAAGAAAGCTTAATATATCTAATTTTATATGTTTTTTAAAGAAATCAATGAATAAATTTTACTCAAGACTTGTATTGAAGATATGTAAGTATGGGATGCTTTCAATATAGACATAAAAATATTTAAACATTTATCATTTGCTTTACTAGACAAAACGTCAATATATAAATAATTATTAATACTATTGTAAATGTTATTGAAATTCCAAAATGGGTTACAATTTTATATTTGAGATTGGTTTACTTAAGAAATATAAAAGTGAATGTTTACTTACACTATATTTTTGGGTTCTTCTAAACTGTACATTCGAGTTAAAATAGCAAATGAAAATAATATTAATGAAAGAATATCTATTTCACAATTAATTCTAAACATTTTAGGCTTTTCTTTCCACTTTATTTCTATATCCGTTTTTTCTAAATCCTCTATTTGTTCCGTTACTTCCAAAGAATTTTTCCGTACATGGGACTCTTGAATATCATTTACTTGAGTTAGTTTTTGTTTTTCTTTAATGAAACTGTATGTACATGAAGAAATGTATTTTCTTGGAAATCTTGTATCGCCTCGATTCTTTGCATTTCTCAAATTTTTCATATTATTTTGGATAAATTTTAAACACCTTTTTGACAATTAATGACAGGTGTGACCTTTTTGACGTGTCCGTAAAGCAATTTCAATTGGTAAACTCTCTAAAAACCGGTTGTACAATACCAGTTTTGCATTATTTGCTTGCATGATTTGGAATATTTCACAATGAAGTGGAGAGGGGTAGAATGATAACTGTCAATGAAAAAGTCTGGACACTGCACAATTTCGTTTTGCACATTTTGTAAACAAAATTCAGGGACGGTTTAACAACATTTTGTGCAACAATTATAAAATAGTGCATCGAAAAATAATTAAGGACCGATTCCACCACAAAGCACATAGAGGTTCCACGTGAATGACCAAGGTCAAAACCGACAATTGACATTTTTTATGCTATTTGCTCCAAACTCTAGATGGGGCTACTGGTAAAATTCTGATTTCTTACTCCATTTTTAAGCTTTATGGGAGAAAAACAACCAAAGACTCCAAAGATGTGACGTGTATTTATTTATGTTTTTGGTTAATCTCATTTTTCCGTCTGATTTTAGTGATTTTTTGTTGGCTTTGACTTTTGGTTTCTGTTTATAGTTTCGTCTTAGTTATAACCTACTGTGTTTTGCAATAATTTTGGTGCTACCTGTGGGTGCTACGTTGAAAACTTCGAGAAAAACTTCATTGATTCACCATGCATCTGCATCATAAAAAGAAACGGGTATAACAACTAATTGATAATCAATTTATCACTGGACTAGATTCCGAAATCATTTTTCACATAAGAGAGTAATACACAAAGCAGTGGAGTAATACCACCATCTGTATTTGGAAGGAAAATACCTATTTATCATTGAATGAATAGTTAAAAGGATTCACCTTTTAATACAATACCTATATTACATTTGTCCTCGGTTTAAAAGACATTTATAAAATATATTATTTTAGTGTTAATAAATTGTAATATCCTAGTCTCTACTTCACATTTAAATTATTGATAGGTATTTTAAAGATTTGAGATTGATTATATACCTATTTGCTGCAAGTAAGTATTCATTAAATATGTATTATTATTTGTATTTATTTTTATCTAATAATATTATTTAAGTTATTAAGGACCGATTCCACCGTTGTGTTAAACGAAGTTTAAACTGGCATTTCTACATTAACAATGTCATTTTAATCTCCGTTTAAAACAACGGTGGAATCGGCCCTAATAAACATATTTTAAGAATGTTCTATTTTATTGTTTATTGATATATCTTATATTTATTTAATAATAATATGCAGAACCAACTCTTCACATCAGACCCCTGCTTATAACAAATTAATTCCTCAAATTTGGTATAATCGACCTAAATTATTTTGTAAAATAAAAGTTTCGAACTTACTAGTTCCATTCTTTATTTTATAAAATAATTTATGTGGAAATCATTTAAAATTTAATTTAAAACTACAACCTACCCCTAAAAATTACAATTTGAATTTACCGCCATCTGTCAATTGTCATTTTAGTTCCAGCTCCAAACACAAGGTGGCGCCAATTTGGTTTAAAAGTTTAACATTGGCGTGGGGTCTCTAGAAGATACGTGCTTTGTGGATTCCACCGTTGTGTTAAACGAAGTTTAAAATTACATTTTTACATAACAATGTCATTTTAATCTCCGTTTAACACAACGGTGGAATCAGCCCTAACAAGTATAATTTAATACTAAATCGGAATAAAAGCATAAAAAATCATAAATATAAGCAAGATAACAAAGAATTGACGCCAAAAAAGCTTACAACAGCCAAAACACAAACAAAAAAACAGAGCTGAACATGAACATAATCGCTGAATAAAGTCGATCCTGGAATTTGTTTACAGTGCTTTAGGGCAACCTCTCCTTGTCATTTACGTGTGTAAGAGTGGAAGGCTGAATCACGCATAATTTCTACACTCGCGATGGATGCGCAGACGGTACCTTATCGTTCTACCCTCTCTACTTCTTTGATATTTCAAAAATTTCGATATATGCACTTTGTAAAGGTACGTTTACATCTGACATTTATTGCATGATATTTATGTCTGACAGTTGTTTAGTCCAGTGTAAACCACATACTTTTATTTTCTTTTACTATACGGATGGTGAGTTCGGTCTACGCACTCTTTTCACTATATTCACTCCTAAAGTACCTAAGGCGTTCGGGTACGGAAGGAGTTAAAATAAAAGTTCCTCTTTGACCGTTCGGTGATGGTGGAGTGGAGTGTGGATCGGGCATGCGCATAAGGTGATTTAAATCGATAATAAGTTAATTGTGACTGATTCTTTAGTAAATAAATTTTTTTTTTTGGTTCCCGTGAATATCATTAATATGGAAAAAACTTATACGGTCGTTACTGATAAGTACGATTAAATTTTAAGTACTGGTATGTCACATTGACAACTGACATTGCACTCCGAGAGTTAAAGGAGTAAAATCATATTCGCACTCCGTTTACGCCTACTTACTCCACTCCACTCTGGAGTGCGCAGCCCGAACTCACCTAGAGAGTGGTCACATTGCACAGCTTTCTAAGTGTCTTTTAAAAGGAGATAGAAAACTCCGCCATTTTGAACCGTTATTACGTGTTGCCTACATCTTGGCGCAATATTTTTAATAGGTGCGTTTTAATCATCCGCTTCTGCTTCGGAATGGTCTGTTTTCTTGTTTTAATCTGACAGGTCCGGAAGCAGAAGCGGATGATTAAAACCTTTTGATTAAGACGCACCTGATATTTTGCTTGCTGCTGTCAGTGTCAGTGAATATTATTTTCATTGATCTGGCAACTATCAATGGCTGCGTTCATCCGCGCCACATGCTACCTGATCGATCTGGTAGCGCTCTCGAGTGGCACGTATGAACGGTGTATTTTGACATTTCGCTCAAGGAGCAGCCGCCATTAAAAGTAGCGCATTTTATTTACGTCTGATCGGTGATCACTGATCTGTCTTACGCACTTACGTCCACGGTTTGCTTGGTGACTAGTAGGGTTATATTAGCATATTAGCAATTGAAAAATAAACAAACAAATCTTCAACCAGAGACATTCAACTCAAAAGTAAAATGAATAAACCAAAATCAAATGTCACTTTTAAACATGGTTCATCCGTGCATAAAGATCGATCAGGTAGCGTAAGTGATCGCTACTTTTGTAGCGCTCCTTGAAATGGCGCGGATGAACGCAGCCATTGATTTATTTTTGAAGTCACAGTTTATTGCTAAAGAATCAGTTAGCTCACTCGGACCAGTTGAAAGTTCCAAAATAACATCCACTCCAGGGATACAAATTCAGGATACGCAGAAGACTGCTGTTTTATTACAGGCGGTTGTCATATATTGTATTATCCGAGTTGCACAGTGTATAAACTGAAACATTGAGATCAAAAGTGCCGACGCAGAGTGAGCGATCTGATTCTTTAGCTGTAAACTGTCACAGAGTTCAAAATGGCCGCGCCCTATGTTGGGCGTGTCGGACCTCTCTCTTGCCTCGTATAGTAATCAAAGTATAAAGTATGTGGTCGTTTTAACCTGTCAGATTAAAACAAGAAAACCGACAATTCCTAAGCAGAAGCGGATGATTAAAAATATAAACGCACCTATTAAAAATATTGCGCCAAGATGTAGGCAACACGTAATAAGGGTTCAAAATGGCGGAGTTTTCTATCTCCTTTTAAAAGGCACTCAGAAAGCTGCGCAGTGCGACCATTCTCCGTATAGTAAAAGAAAATCAAAGTATGTGGGTTTAGTCCGATTAGTGACAGTTTAACACTCTTAAATGTCATTTAATAGCACCCTAAAAAACTCCGCTTTTGTCCCGCTCCAGCCCCTGACTATCCGAACTCGCCTACTGTACTAAACAACTGTCAGACATAAATCTCATGCAATAAATGTCAGATGTAAATGTACCTTAACTTATTTTAATTTAAGTTTATTTTGTACCATATTTGCCTTTAAATTTTATGAATGAATACATCTATATAGCTACTAAACTTTAAAAATAAATCTCAGGTATTTTTTATATATTCCTGCTGGGAAATAGCAGTTAACGAGTGATGTAACTACAACAGTTCATTAAGAAATAGGAAATTCATTCCATTGATCTGTATTGAAATTCTCAATTCGACACATGTTGAGACGACTATCTTCATTCCACAGAATGCGATTCGTATGTAATGTCTCTCTTTATTCGTTACGTGTTGAGTACGCACATAAGAATCCCTGTCCTGAAGTTCTGAAGATGAATCCTATTATCCAAGGATTAGTTGACGTCTAGAAACAACTGTATATAAGCCAATATAAGGACATATTCCACCATTGTGTTAGACGAAGTTTAAAATGACATTTTTACATTAACATGTCATTTTAATCTCCGTTTAACACAAAGGTGGAATCGGCCCTAGGTAGGTAATACCAAAATCTAGTGAATATCTGATGGTTTGTAACAACTGTTTGCAACCAAGCAACTTTTTTGAAAAAATCGGAACCCACCCAATATTTTCCTGCAAAATTGAAAATTTTATTTGATTTCGCGAAAAATCTGCTAAAAACAAATGCGTGTCTGACATATGCCAAATATTGATATTTGTTGGCAATGTTGCCATCGATGAGGATTTTACCCGATTTTCGGGTATTCTTACTCAACTTGAACATCAAAGATTATAGCGTTAAGCGTTGTTCATTTCTAGAATCCTTTATTACTTTGCAAAGATCATGTTTTAATAATTTTCGTCACTTCATAAGTCACTATTAAATTTGATTGTGAACTATTGGGTAAAATGGAATATTCTGTAAGTTTTAAATGGGGTTTGAGTATTGTCATCGTTTGACCATGGCAACACTGTTTGTTGGGCATGTGAATGGATGATCGGCGTACGTGTCAAAAAGTTATGAGCCGGTGAAATTTTTGTAAAATATTAACTAAAAAAATGAAATTTTCCACATTTTGTGTCTTAGGTACGTATATTTATCATTTTTCTATATATTATATACGTCATTGTTTTATTTTCAGTATTATGTATAATTTACGCCCTACTTCAAACTGTTCACGCCAGTATAGGAGGTTACATTAGCCCTACAGATCGGAACAAATTCATTCAAATTTTGAAAAAGTCGATAAAAGTCGAGGGAGACGATATAATATCCCCTTACTATGGAATTAAAGCTTTCAAGTTACTAAATATTCCTTTTGATACAAAAGATCCAATATGTGAAAATATAAAAAAAAATTTCAAGTATCAAAGTATAGAGAGCAGTTTCTACACTTATAGTGCTTACAACTTGTTAGCATGTCACGGAAAGATACACACACCAGAAGCTATCAAGGTATGAACATCAACATTATTTATATCTAGGTATTTTAGAAACATAAAAAGTACTAAAATAGGAGGTAAATATAAGTAAAAATCAGTTAACTGAAAGTTTGAGGTACAACTTGTATTAAAATCATCCTTACTTCTGGCACTATTTTAACATTTGTACTTGTTTGAAATGTTTATTTTATCAGTTATCATGGCACATTTTTAAAAACACTTGATAGGGGTTTTGTTAATACCTACATCAATTTTGGTATGTTGTATTTTTTGCCATTTAATAATTGATTTCTTTATGGATCAAATCCAAAAGAAAAGCTACTAGACTAATCCAGTCCTTCATAATCAAGCCCTTATTTATTGCAATCATTCTGATTGTGTTTTATATTATGTAGACAGTTGCCACATTAGAAAAAAGGGGCCATCCATAAATTTCACGAATTTCATGATTTTTGACCACCCACTCTGTCCCTGTCACATTTGTGAGATTCCCCCCTCTAGTGTGAAAAATGAAAAAAATATTAAGTATGTCTTGGGATTCCAAAATGTATCATTTCGGGGTAGTTATTCCAGCAGTATTTAAACAAGGAGATGTATCTTTCACAAAATGAATGGTGATTGCTATGATAGCTAGTTTATTTGATATGATTAAAGCAAATATTTTAATGCCAAAAATTTCGGTTCGAGAACTTGAATGGGCTCAGGAGTGTCCTGAAGATTTGGTTCAGGAATGGGGAGTATATGTAAAAAAACATTCAGGAGCTTTCAATACTTATAATTTTGGAGACCACTGCTACTAAATAAATTGACAGTATCTTTTGAACATGATAGTTCGATGTGATGTCATTTTGGCTCCACTGACATTTAATTCTATCCAAACTTCTAACAAAAACATCAATAAATTTGACATATATGTTTTTATTGTTTTTAGTTTATTTCTAAATATTGTTTATAGGTCATAAAAAATAGTTTAAAGGTATGTAATTGGTAAATAAATGATTGTATATTTATTGCATGTTATTGCTTTAGGAATATATTTATAAAAGTGAAAAAATGATGTAATTTAGGTAAACAAAACGAACAAAATGCACTTTAATTGTCAGTGGAACCATAATAACATCATCACTGAACTAGCCGATAGCATGACTTTTCGGATGCATCAACTTTTGCATATGGGTGTTGTTCTTATTTAAGTTTTTTAATTCAGATAGTTTACTTTCTTGTAAGTTGATCTGTTCTAAGTCAAGGGTAGCACCTTTAAAAACAATTTCTTTACCAATGTTGGAACTATGTGGATTCATACTAATGGCAAGGTTATATCATAATAGGCTTTCATCAATTTTATCACTAACTTTTGTTATAGTGATCTTATGGACAGATTCTAAAATAGTGTTAATTTAGTTAAATAGTGCTCCTACTAGGTGGACTACATTTATTAGGCATTCCAAACTGAATGGCTACCAGTGGGTTTTGACAGGTTATGATATGGAAAAATTATGGCAACTCTGTAAGCCTGGTGATTTGACAAGGTCAATGAAATAGATAGTTACATAGATTGATCATCCATATTTTTCAAAATAAACATAAGCTTATGCCTTGAAGTAAAAATGTAAGCAGTTATTATTTTTTAAATATGTAAAGGCTGACAATTGGTTTTAAAACACATTTTTGCTAAACCGATTCAAATTAATAAATATTTGTCAGGCAATATGGCCGCTCGCAAACGACCAGCTTTGAGCAATCTATATAACTTTATATGTATCATTCACCCTGTTAATGACAACATGACAAAACAGGGTTGCCATATCTAAACTGTCAGAACCCACTGGTAGCCATTTGGACAGGTCGTTGGAATGCCTAATTGTAAATAGGGTATCTGAAATGTATGTAATACAGAATGACAATATATTGCTTCAGAATGCAACCCAGTCGATTTTGTTAGTAGAGGGTCAGATCCAAGATTATTGCTTGACTGTGAGGCATGAGCCAAATATAGTACATGAGCTTGTTATACTGGAAGAAAATAGGGAAGCTTTAGGTATAGAGGAACTGATACTGATTATTAAATTTTGGGCACAGTCCAAGCATCTGGGGGTTCTTTATAGAGTGTCTTCTTTTACTTTAAGGTTTATATGGACCTACCTCCTCACTCGTTTCTGACTCTAGAGATGGCTCTACCTGTCGAATCAAATTTAGTACACAATTTATTAAAGTTACAGGGTTCTATTTGCGATACAATAATATTTCGTTAGTTTATATCGCCGCCAAAAGAGACAGCTAGCACAATAATAGATTACTCGGGAGATCTTCATGATTCGATACGAAGAACGTTGCCAAACTTCAATATAATTTTGTTTTATTTGTTTACATTGTAAGCCGCAGGAGATGAGGTGATGAGCGCGGACGTCGCAAGCGATCCAGTTAAGAGATGGATATGACTGGTCCGCTTTGGATTATTTTCAACTATGAACAGTGATAAATAAAAATTATTTAGCATGAGCATATTATCCTTAAAAAATATGGTATAAAATTAGGACATAATATAATCTATGTAGTTTGGCGAATGAACTCAGTTCGCCCAGAAAAAAAATTATAATAAAAAAAACTGACTCTAGGATACGTTCGCGCGCTATGGTTAGGTACTATTTAATAATAAAATGAATATTAAATAATTTTCATGAAAATTATTCATAATTTTAAAGGTCAGTAAAAAAAAAAAAAAAAAAATAGAAAGGGAAAAATAGAAAGAACGTAAACAAAAGCTCAAAAAATGCAACTTCCAAACGATTCAATGTACACCTTAGGTATACATTTTTGGAAACAAATACCTAGTAGAAGAAAATAGACAAATGTGATAGTATATACAGGGTAACTGAAGAAGGGTAACAAATGCTCTAATGTGTATCTTAAAGGTAACACATTGACTCAAAATTAATCCCACATAAATACATTTTATAAAGTTAAATGACAACCGGTTTCGGGCTCAGGCCATCATCAGGTCTAAAAATTAAGTAATAAGTGCTTATAATAATGTAATATGACGTCTCCATAAAAAATTTAAAAAAATACACGTGTATGATTAAAGAGGTAGTTGTAAGGAAATACCATATGTGGGAAATGTGATAGAAATTGTACAAGTTGAAAAAGATTTGCGTAAAGAAACTTACAGGCTAACACTATTCATCGCCATAATTACCCACATTTATCAACATGTCCCACATATAGTATTTTTTACGACTACCTTACTCTTGTTGGGGCTCGGTTTTAATCATGCACGTGTATTTTTTAACTTTTTTTGTGAGTACTTCCTAGTAGTGTTTTGTAAGCCCTTATTACTTAATTTTTAGACCGGATGATGGCCTAAGGCCGAAACCGTTTGTCATTTAACTTAATAAATTAATTTATATGTGATTCATTTTGAGTTGTCTTACCAATATATAGGGTGTTTCAATAAAAAAAAAACATGAGTAATGGTTCTGGGGGGAGAGCGTGAAAGTTATGAGTATATACAAGCATAAATGCCCCTTAATATGATTTATATGATTTTCGACTTATTTTTGTATTTTTTCATAAAAGCCTCACTTTTAAAATTATTTAGAGTGGATAATTTTCATTGAAAATTCATGTTTAGGACAAAGTGTTAATACAATGACGTTGTACTCATTTTTCTTCTCTGATAGACGAATCATCATGTTATTGGTGATATAAGATAACTGGAAAGTCATAAAATATAAAACAAAAAACTGGTTATTTATTATTCGTCGGAGAATTCAGTATAGGTTTAAATTCAAAATTATTTTTTAAATGTTTCGCTTGTGGATTTGCAAAATCAATAATCACAAATAAAGAAACTTCGAAGATAAATCTTCTGGCTACTACATCTATTGGCAAAGGACATAACTCTTTGCTAGAAAATTTGTCAAAATTGGATATTTTTTCTTTTGATATTTTCACGTTTTGCGTGTTTTTAATAAAATATATCACAATGAATGAATTTAGGGGTGACAATGCAATAATTATATCACTAGAACCTTAATCATGTAAAGCCTCTATTGCTTTAAACTTGGCTTTGTAGCTCTTAACTGTATGAGGGTCCTACTCTTGACATTATAGGACCTAACATGTCTCTGTAAAAGGGCTGAAGAAAACAATGTTTTCTTAAAACAAATAGTATTTCTATTATTAAGTAATTATTATTATTAAGTATAATATTTAATATTCGGAAATTTATGAGTTTTAAGATATAAGCCGAATAACACGGTGTTTTAGGCAACAGTCTCACAAACTACAACCACAGTGATTGTCTATTTTGCCTAGACTGCGTTACCCGGGAATATTATTTGTAAATAATGCTTCTTCCATTACCTTCAGGGCTAACCATTTCTATGCAACAAAACAATTCTACAAAATACTAAACAGCTGGACATACACAAATATGGACCAACACTATAATAAATATCTTTAAAACAATTTAACTTACCAACTGCAATATCTGGGGCTCATGTGACAACAATTAACCGTGATTTAAAATACAAAAGGACCTTTAATTTTCTACTATGGAGATCCAGAGCCTTCGGTCGAAGTCTCAGTGATCAGGCACAGCTACTGGGAATATTCTACAAGCAGGGCCTCTTATGGACCCGATGGGGAGGATCCTCTATTGTGGAAAACGCACTGTGCGTCTCCTCGAGGTTACCTTCTTAACTTCTGCATAGTTTATTGTTATTAAATTAATATGTAATAATTATTAAATAATCAATTTTGTACATGATTGCAACTTAAAACCAATTCGCGACATAATTAAACAAACTTTTATGTACAGGGTGTTATTTAAATATTTAATTAAAATTTGGAAAAATGTGAATTTATACAAAGCGTGACAATATTATTAAAGTTATAACAGAACAAATAGAAGAGCCGGAAGTGGCAGGTACGATTCATAATCTACAACAACGGTTCTAAAGCAAAACAAAGCTCAGAATGTCAAATATACTTCACATCCATAAACCTAAA